TCATATGGTATGGGTTTCCAGGTGTTGTTGGTCGCGAGTTCTCTATTAAACCGATATATCATATTATAGTATGTTGTGTAATTAGAAAAATATTTAAATATTGAATCAATAATATCGCAACCACAGAATATTGGTGGTACTATTGACCCAAGTGGGAAGTATAACTTACCACGGTTAACTTATTCGTGCAATTAATCCCAATAGACCTCGTTCCATTCGTCATTATTAAATTTTATTGGCTAAATAATAAAGTTTAGTAAAATATTTAATAAATTTCGTTATTATTTTATTAGATTAGTAGCACCTCTCTTCTATGTACTTAATTTTACAGGAGATGATTAAAAAAAAGGAAAAGCCAATTTTATTCTTAAAATAGTATTTTCCTACCAAAATTTAACAAATTTAATACAATCTTACTAAAAGATTAGTTAATTAATAGGGAATTAATCCCATCTCATTTCATCCAAATTAATCTAATATAGATTACCAAACGAGCCCATAATGTATAAAATTAGCACATTATGACGTAATAAATAATAGAGATAGCTTCTTGAACATCGAATATTATGTATATAACACTTAAAGAAAACTAGAAGTTTTATTATGTAGTAAACACCAACAACACTATTATACAAGCATAAATTAAATTTAAATTAAAAAAAAAAAAAAAAAAAGCTCATCCGAAAGAGAGGAGAGATCGAATATCACTGGTTAGAGGAGAGAGAAGGAAACGACGGTATAGACTGAAGAATCAATTTTCTGCTGCTCCTCAGACCAGGGGACAACGACGCACCTGCACCACCGCCGTGTGGCGGTGAAACCCTCTTCCCATTGGGTGACGAGGATTTTATTCCTCCAATAGGAGACGAGAGAAAATCCGGCATTTCATTATCTTCAATAACCGTTTCGAGATTTTTATTTTCATCGAATTTAGGCGGTGGTAGAGCAAAGCTCGGTCTAACAAACCCTTGCCTTCCGTTAAAACTCGAAGACGAACCGCCACCTATGGTTAAAAAAGACGATCTTGGCGGTTTATTCTTTGAGGAAAATGGAAGTTGCACCGATTGCCTGAAAAAAAATTCAATAAGAATTATTACTTTCGCAATTAATTATAATTTATATATATATGCTTTTCCGAAAACCTACTATTTCATATACAGATTTTTTTTTTTTTACCTTACAGACTGTAAAGGTGTCGCGGGTAGTACATAAGAATCGGAGTTGTGTTCCAGGTCATTTTCGATTACGATCTTCCGGAAGCTTCTGTCGGGAATATTCTTCTCGGCTGTTTCTGTTTCATCGTCTTCGACTTCAGTTTCCATGCACATTACACCAGATCCTGAGATTGAGAATTACCAAGAATTTATATTTTTACATATATATAATACTAAATTTTAAAATACTCTTCCAATAATTAGTTTTAATGAAAGTTATTTTTCGATATTTTTTTCACTTTCCGAAAATTTATCGAAAAATAAAATGTAAAACTCACCATCCTTTCGACCAAACGCGTTCTTGCACCCTTCACATCTGCAATTAATTGAGCACCCAACACCACCCTACGAAAAAATCGGCCAATTTTAATTTCCATCAGCTGATAAACGATCGAAAAAGGCATGTAGACAAAAGCAATAAATAAAATTGAAAAATAAATAAATAAATAAAAACCTGATAGCATTCGCAATATTTCTTCAGACAACCAGATTTCTTGCAGTTGCATCCTCGTTTATGCCGAGCAGAAGCAGGAGTCTTGCTGGAATCATCCTGCAATTAAAAAAATATATATATATTTAATTTGTGTAATTATTGACTAGCGAAGAAAAACGAAGTCAAAATTAAGATTCTAACCCCAGTTTCTATAAGCGAATCTGGACCCTTGATCACTTTGGGGGCAAAGGCAAGAGGGTTTCGAGATTCGATCTGTTTACGAGTCGCAAGAACAGTGTCTTCGTGGATGGGTTTGTTGAAGCAATCTATACACGCACATGGCTCCACGCAATACACACCAGCAGCAAAGCATTCACAATAACTGTAAATAAACAAACGTTTAAAACGGAATTACAAGTGTAATTTTTGAAAAAAAGAAAGATATCGGAATTTTCAGATATATTTTCATTTTCAGATATTAAAATCGGATTGGAAATTGGATTGTAATGTGCACTCCAATTTGGAAAGAAAAATATTGTTCCAAAATCGGAAATTTTTGGATCGGAATCGGCAGAATTGAGAATTTTCGTTCCAATTTCCACCCCTAAACAGGAGCTTACGAATAGTCGAACTGCAATAGAAAAAATAAATAACAAAAATACGCCGTATGAAGTTAAATCGAACTTACAGTTTCAGGCATTTCGATTTCTTGCAGTTACATCGCTTACAAGCTTCAGCCTCCCCAGCTTGTTCTACCCTACGTCTGAGAATCCAATTTCAGATATAAAGTTTTAAAAAATACAAAAAATAAATAAATAAATTCCCAGTCCAATTAATAGACAAACAAGAAAATGTACCGTTTCTTCTTCGGACTACTATGGCCAATCTCTTCATTCCCGATCAATCCAGATGCCTCGCAAGCATCTTCCGGGGGCAAAACCGTAACTTCAGTCCCAACAACTTCTCTCTCCGACGGGGTCACCGGCAAAACACTGGTCAACGGATCTTGTTCGATAGTCAACGGGCTGAAATTGACCGATGAGCTAGGTCCAATCAGTAACCTTCCGGAAGCCGAAGAAGAATCGTGGCCGACAATTTTATAGTCTTTGGTAGTCGATGCAAGAGCATTTAAATGCAAGCCGATACCAGGTAACACGCAACGTGTAGTAGATTCGATATTTGCTGTCTTAATCGGGGCTAATTTCTGACCGTTGGATGAAGATTCCATATTGCCATCGGATTGCATCAAGACAGAAGAAGAAGAAGACGAAGAATCGGGGCCCACATTTTGAGTCAAGTGCTTTCTGCGGGACCCGGACATTTCAAAAACCAGACATCGTCTTCTCATACCACGGTACATACCGGAAAGATGCTACCAAAACAAACGAATATTCGAGTTAATTTATATTAAGAAAAATTAGGTGGTGTTTGCAAAAGCTTTTGAAAAGAGATTATCAACTTTTTTTGGGCAAATAATCTATTCAAAATAAACGGAAAATATAATTAGTACCTCGTAATCCATCTTTTCATCAGAATTGTCCTCCATCGAAGAACCACCGACTATTTCATGAGTCTCCGAGTTGTTCTCAATAATCTCGATTCCTTCACCAGGCTGAGTCGACAAGTTCTCTGTTTCGTTTCCCTCCAAAAATTGCTCCCCGGACCCTTCCGCGCAAAGAGACTGCATATTCTGCATGTCACTATCCATGCTAGTGTAGAAACTCATCCCATTATCAATCATCGATTTCTTGTAAGTATCTGCATCGTTCGGCGATTCGAAAATCAATAAATCGGTGGCGTCAGAAATCAAACTATCCCAATCGCAAGTTTTCGATTCTTGATTTCGATCGATGACCTGGCTCTGGCTTACCCCCTCCATATTATTATTTTGCACAAACGGAACCGATACGTGTTTGTCTTTAAGACCACAGCTGGCATTTGGGCTGCTGAAATCGTAACCCTCCGCAAAATCGACTATGTACTTTGAGCAATCGTACGACGAATGACAAGCCGCCACATCAGCGTCAGATTCCCTTGTGTCGACATTTTCCTGCAGTTCGTCCGATTTCTTGGTTGGACCCGCGTCTACTATTGCCTTGTTTCTATCGGTAGAAAACTCGGGTTTTGACGGATCTGAAAGCTGATGCCTAGGGAAAAAAAAGGGAAAAATGAGGTTTAAAATGAGAGTACTTGTAAAAATAAAAATTATACGATTATTTTGTTGCAATTTTTACCTCCGGAGAAATCTTGATTCCTTGAGAGAAGTGACATGGGGCGAAGTGAAAACGGACGGAATTGTAGAGAAACTAAGAGGGTTGATTGTTTGGCTGATGTGTGCGGATTTGACCGGCTTGATCGGAGAAAGATTGTTGAGAAAATTAAATACGGGCGAGTCCTGCATGAAGAGAAGAAAAACATCATCGTTAGACAACAATGTAAGACAAACAAAAAAAACGATGTACTCCTAAATTTGCAATCCTTTAGCAAATGAATTTCTCGGGTCAATCGATCTACACAAAATCGAAAACAATGAGCCAAGAAATTTCTCGGGTCAATCGATCTACACTCTGTGACGAAAATAACAGTCGAATTTCATAGATTTCCTTAGTTTACTAGAAAATAGAGAAGCCCAAAACCAAAATTTGGCAAATCTAGAAAGAACTAAAAAAAAATCGAGTAAAAATCGAGTAAAAATCGGGTTAATGCAACTAAAGAAGAAGAACTCAATACAACAGTTCAGAAACCTAAATTTGTGGAATCGTTTAGCAGAAATGCACAAAACCTCATAATTACAATTCATCAAAATTGATCTATTACCATTGTCAATTAACACAATTTCAACTCAAGATCAAGCTTCAAAAACCCGACCCAGATTAAAAACCCATCTGCAAATAGCTTGAATTTTTTTATTACAAACCAAAATCCTGAATCAATGCAGAGAAGAAAATGTCAAACGGCGTCGTTCAAACAAAATTACTCAAAACCCTCTTCCCGCACCACTTCCAAAAGTCAAACGCCCCTAAATCCAGCATCAATTAAGAACCCCCAAAAAAAAATTTGCAGAAAGAAAGAAACCCACTAAAAAAAAAAACCCTTAAAAATTTGTGTTCGAGAAAACCCAAAATCGAACCTCGAATTTGGTAACAGATGTCGCGATCTGGTGGTTCTTGGTCCTCTCCGGCGTGTCCATCACTTCTCCCTCTTCAATCGAAGAGGTCTCGACCCCCGCACCCATTTCTTTCTCTCTCTACCCCTTCTTTCTCTCTCTAGCTTTGCTGCACACCACAAAAACCTCACAACAGGGGGGCCAAGAAAAAACGAGATGGGGTCGAAAATTAGTGAGTGAGCGAAATGAAATTCAAGAAGAAGCGGGAAATAGAGTGAAGAGTGGGGAGTGTGTGTGTGTGTGAGAGAGAGTGAGAGTGAAAAAAGAATGGATTTTTCTTTGTGCTGACAAAAGAGAAACGACCCCACCACCCACCCAGAAAACACACACACACACACAATACACACACACACAGCTGTTGTCCATGTGTTGTTGTGTGGGTGAAGTTATATATATGCGAACCACAAAGCAGGCAACGTTAAAGATGGGCTTGGGAGGGAAAACCAAAGGATGAAAATATTATAAAGGGCAAATTACGCCCAACTCCCCTCTTATTTTGGTAATTACAGTCATTCCCCTCAACTATGCATTATCTTACAAAAAAACCCCTTTAGATGTAAATTTAGGGATGTTAATTCGGTAAAAAATTGAACCGAAATTTCGTTACGCCAACATTTCATACCGTTTACGGAACCGAATATACGATTAGGTTCAGTAAATAACTGAATTACATAATTTTTTTATTGAAAATATATAAAAGGAGATGGTGGTTGTAATTACCCAAACAAGAGGGGTTTATTCGTAATTTGACCTTACCTCAGGGGTGGCCGTAATTTGCCCAAAAAATCAAAAGAAAAGGAAAAATATATATTAAACCATGTTTTGCCTAAACTACCCCTATCATTTAGAGAAATTCTTTTAATAGATTGTCTTGTACACTTGTTTTTACCGTAAATCTACACATAAATATGTATGATCAAATTTCAATCTTGTCATCCATTTCTTTGATCAATAATTTCCAATTTCTGAATAAGTTTTTTTCATTTTAATTCTCGTAATTCGTAACATTTCCTTTACGAAATTGGAATTGTTTTTTCATCTGATTTTTTACTTTCAACCCTAACTAGGCTAAATGCATTCTTGATTGCTACATTAAATTTAGGGTTTATGGGAATTGACTTTGTCAAAAAAAAAAAAAACTTAATTCAGTTTCCATGAATTTCTATGATTTTAAATTTCAGTTATGCTTTTTTTGTGGGTTTTTTTGTTGAAGGATCGGTTTTATTTTGCTGGGAAAAAATCTTTATTGTTAATTGCGGAGTTAATTTCATTTAATAAATATTTGGTGACTCAATTATTGACTTAGATGCTAATAAATATTTTCTTTGAAGGCTGTTATCTACTCATAATTGGATATGGATGATTTTTAATCTGACAGCTTCTTCATAGGTGGTAAATGAGATCATGATTTATGCAAAATTAATGATTAAATAATTAAGAAAAAAAACACTTGTCAAAAATTATTATTTGATGTACTGCAGATTATGTGATTATGGTTGTGGTTTTTGAAATCTAATGTATGTGAAGTCCCATATAATATATAAATTGATAATGTGTAAACATAAATTCTTAAATTACATTGTACATTACATATTTAAGAGTTTTCGTTCGAAAAACGGGCTCTATAGTTACTTAAAAAAATGTATTTATTGAAAATAATAATATATACTCAAAAAAAAATAAAAAAAAAATAATATATATAATTTTGTGAATTAATAAGTTATTAGTAAATATTTCACCAAATTATTATTATTAGTTTTTTTTTTTGCAGTATTAGTAAAAGCCCAAAATACCCTCGGATACCGGGCCGACCCGTATATCCAAAATAGGCTCCGGTTAGAGCAATTCATGTTTTGGCGCGCCGCTGAATTTAAAAGTGTGGGCCACTGACCCATTAGCCCACACGGCGGTCTATTCATTCTTGCCATGGTCCCCCTCACACCATATTATTTCTTTTCTAAGAGAATTATAATTTATTTAATGCATCAAGAAAAAATATTTAGAGTTAATGGGATAATATATGGATTATGTTATTTTGGCATTGAGTTAGTTTCTATATATTTTTAGTTTTTTTAATTAAGATGTCTCCATGATGAGCACATTATTAGTTATTAATTTGATTTTTATATCTTTTTTCTTTGACTTTTTAGGCACTAGGTTATGAAAGTACATGTTGACTATATAGTATTGATTATGAAGATTATGAAATAAATAATAAATTATAATATTGATTATTAAAGGTGGGTTAATTGTTATGGAAATGACGACATTCTTTTATGTGATATAATTTTTAATGATATTTTTATATTTTACAAGTTAGTAAGAAGAAGAGTAAAACTGCAAAAAAGTGTCACTGTGTAATTTCAAAATAATGGAAAGCCTTCTATAATAAATTTCACATGGGGGTTTTCGCTATTTCGAATTTTTACAGGTGCATTTTTTACAATATAGAGGAAATTAGGGTGGCTATTTGAAATTTAGTTCCAGTGATTTTGACTCTAATTTTTTACATTAAACAATTCACAAGACCATAGTACAAAATGAAAAAAATAACGTATTGTATTTGTACCCGACAATGAAAAGTAAAACTTGAGATATGGGCTATGTAACAACTTCTGATTTTTTGCTTCAACTCTTTTTACTTTGTCAAATTCTACCTAAATAAGATGGTACCTTTATTCGTGTCGTGGTCCCTTTGAATTTTGGACTGTCACGTGACAATTCCACCTCCTAAATATATATATATATATATATATATATATATATATATATATATATATATATTGCTAAGACATTGGGTAAATTACGGTTACCTCTAGTGGTAAGGTAAAATTACGTAAAACTCCCTCGTGTTTGAGTAATTACAATCATCTTCATAACTATGATTCTTGTTACAGGTCCACCCTCTGGGGTCTAATTCAACAGAATCTTCTAGATTTTGTGGAATGTTCTCTAGTTTCTACTCGTTTTGTGCAAAACTGCAGCTTCTAATGCATAAGATATTTACAAGTCAAGAGAGACACATCTTATGATAATCTTGATTCAAAACGTGGAGCTCGAATGGTGTAAAATGGGTACAAACTGAAAAATATTCCACATAATCTAGAAGATTCAATTAAATTTGACACCGTAAGGATGAACTTGTAAGAAAATTCATAATTGAGGCGGGTGATTGTAATTATCCAAATATGAATGATTTTTTTGTAATTTACCTCAGGGAGTTGGACGTAATTTACCCCTAAAACATTTATGTTTTGCATGTACTTTCCCAAATTCCCAAATCACCCTTTGCAACAGCAAGTTGGTGTGCTATGATAATGTCCGTCCACGCGTGGTCTAGCACGTGACCAAGCTATATATATTCATAATAATATTTTCGGAATTGTTGTAGAATATAATACAAGGTGTATATAAATATATATATATTAAAAGTAAATAGCTAGGCTTACGAGTTTACAAGAACATATAATTCTTGTATGATACATACACAAAGTGCATGTTATAATTAAAAGCCATCATTGCTATAAGAGAAATTGAAGTGTGAGAATAATGAAAATTGAAGCTACAGTATATCGAGTGTAATTGATGAAGAAAGATAATAATGAAAGTTATATATATTGTATTACGAGCGTACCTATTTATACAAAATATTAAGTCTTACGTACACGACATGTGTACAAGCTAGTTATGTAGTGTTCATAGCTACAATTTGAATTTTTATCAAAACCATGCAAATGAAGACCATATGTGCATATCATGTATCACATGGATAGGTGACATCTCATTGGTTAGTTTAATGGTGTGAAAGTCCACCGTGTCATACTAGGAATTTAATATTAATTGTTAATGCAATTCTTGAATAAAAGTGGAAACAATAATAATTGAGAGCTTTTAAAGAGAAAATTATGTTGATTTTAAAAATAATCATTATTTCATAAATAAATATATTACAATATATATATTATTTAAATAGTGTTTTATGTGTAGAACTGAAAAGTGTCTCCCACTCCCCAAGACTTTTGGTAAAGATCAGATATTGAAAAACATGGATGTTGACTAAACGAATAAAACATCAAAACCCTAAATTTAATATGGATTAGATGTAATTACAACTTGCAAACAGACAAAACAATGAGTTGTTCATTGATTAATACATTTAAATTAGTGTTTTCTTGGGTGTTCTAATTAATTAATTAATACATATTTTTTTTTTAATTTGACAAGGCTGGGAAAATGGGCTTTTTGTCTGTCACCAATTTATATATTATTATTATTATTTATTGGAAATGGAGCTAAAAAATTAAAATAAATTTGGTAATATATTATATTATTTAATATAGAAATTATCCAAACATTAGAAAACTATATAGAGTTAATCACCATCTCTTTTTTGTCCCCACTGCTGCTCTTTTTCACTTGTCCAAACTCAATAATTCAACGTTGTAATCTAATATTTGTTTCACCATTTTTCTTGATTTTTTCTTTTTTGCAATTTTATTGACTTCATGATTGAATAACAAGTCAAACATTAGGTAAGTTTGACAGGCTGTCATATTTTATTTTTGGAAAATTAGAAAAATGACTGTTAAATACATATACTTAATTGTGTCATTGTGTGTGTGAACTTGTTATAGCTTATGAGCTAAGTTTGAACTTATTATAGCTTAAAACTCGACATAAACCTGAAGCCCGAAAAAATTCATGAGTCGGGTCTGAACTTATAACAATGAAACCCGATCACTATATGTGAACTTGAGCCTAAGTAATGAGGCCCGATATTCTATGAGTTTGAATCAATCCAAGTTCGATTCACACATGGCCCAATTTTCAGTCATATATATATATATATATATATATATATATATATATATATATATATATTACACTCTTATACTAAGCCCAAATAAATTATATTTGTGGACAAAAAAAGTTTGATAAGTTATTGTTGTCTGATTCATTATAAGGCATAAGTTTGGTATTATTTTACAACGTGGTGGGCTCTGTCGTAATTTAATTAACCTAGGTTGCTTAATTAATTTAATTAATTTTTTGTACTCCTAAAATAGGGACAAAAAGTATACTGTTAAGAGATGCTGTTAAATAGTTTTAAGTGTTGATCACCCAATTTTGTCCTACTACTGAATCTACGTAGTTGTCCTAACCCTAATTAAAACTGACGTGAAGATTTTTGTAGTTGCATGGTTGTCGTTTATGATTAATTACGTAAAGCCATGCAATTTGATTTTGATTATAATATCATAAACTATATACATACATCTGATTATTACAATTTGTTAATGACTAATGAGCCGGCAATTTATAATGCAAGGTGTCAAATATGCTGTTCGGATTGGTAAATAACTGAATTACCGAAAATTCATTAATTTTTTTATATATATAAATTGTAGTATGAAAATAGCATGTTTTAGTATAAATATTTATATTACACACATAAATATATAAATAAATAATAATAAAAATAAAATTGTGGTATTCGGTAAAATCGAATTACCGGAATTTCAGAAACCAAAAAACCGACGTACGAGAGACGAGAGACGAACAAGGAAAATATAGTACATTTTCAATATTTTTTGGATGAAATTGAAAACGAGTTAAAATAAAAGTAGTAAAAGTATTAAACATTTATAACTTACAGGACCAATATATTATCTACATATTTACAAACAACCCCTGAAATATGCCTGAATTATAAAAAATCTCCTATTGTTTGCTACAATTACACCATTCGAGCTAGTGGTCCATAAAAATCCTAATATGACCTGTGAAATGTCTAAGTTGCCCCTCGAAAAAATATAGAAAATGTAATTTACAAATAACCACCTCGAGTATGTCTATATATTACAAAACCCTTCTCTTGGTTTGTAAAATTACATATATTCCCCTCAGAACTAAGCAATTGCAATTGTAAGGAAGATCTGTATAAATCTAACTTCCTACTATATTTCAAACCAAAATTGATAAAATAATTCAAAGAATATTAAAAAAAATCTAAGTAGAGACTATCATTTAAATGCGTTAGATGATAAACAAACGAACTGAAAAGAAATTAGACGCGTATTATTTATAAACCGACCAAAAAAAGTTAATTTTTATAATATTTAAAAGTAACAACAATTGATGCTTAATCAATTAAAAACTCTACAATTACACCTTGAGGGTGAAATTGTTAGACACTGAAATACCTAGACGAATAATTGTAAATTTGCTAAATAAGAAAGGGATATTTGTAATTTAAATATAGAGTAAATTACGGTTACTCCCTAAGGTAATGTCAAATTACAAAATACCCTCATGTTTGAGTAATTACAACCATCCCACAATTATGAATCTTTTTACACGTCCACCCTTATGGTGTCAAATTCAACATAATCTTCTAGAGTCCGTGGAATGTTCTAGTTTGTACCATTTTATGCAAAAATAAAGTTTCTAATGTACCACAATATGATATATACAAGTCGAGAGATACATCTTATAATCATTTCATTTCAAAATGTGGAGCTCGAATGTGGTAAAACGAGTACAAACTGGAGAATATTTCACTAAATTTAACAGCGCAAGGGTGGACGCATAAGAAGATTCATAATTGAGGGGTGGTTGTAATTACCTAAATATGAGGGGTGTTTTCGTAATTTGTCCTTACATTAGGGCTTTGGACGTAATTTACCCTTTAAATGTATAATCTCCATAAGGACCATAACGTTATAAATGCTATGACACCTCCAACTGCACCAATAGAGAGACAGCCTACCTATACTAATTCAATACTCAACTACCAAAAAAACAGCACTTATTTACTGATTGTAAAGTTTATATCAAAATGGTAACAACTATTATTAATTAAATTAAATTAAATAAATACCATAATACATTTATAAATCGAAATCAAATCCAATATCATACATATCATTGTGTATCTCGAGTCATTAATTATTGAAGCTCTCTTAAAAATAATCCAAGATATGAATATTATTTTCACATTTGATAGGTTGTTATTGACATAAATGATAGTTTTCTATCCACGTCCAATATTTGTCGTAGCACGCATATTAAAAAAAAATCTAATAAAATATGCATGAATTACAATATATATAATGGCTAAAATACTATTATCATAAGTTGTTTTTCTTAACTAATTTACATGTGTGATAAATGAAAAAAATGAGAAAATTCAAGTAGTTCATCATTGCAATTCTAGCATGACCAATAATTTAGAAAAAAAAGAAAAGAAAAGAAAGAAGAATGACTACTAGAAAACATAATATGTTAAAACATAGCAATATTATTATTATTATTATAAGGGTAAATTATACTTACACCCCTAAAGTATGCTAAAATAACTTTAAGGTCCCTGTGATATTTCTAATTACAGCCACACCCCTGATACATTTACCGGATTTGTTTCCCGCTGGGCCGTTCATGCTACCATATACAAAAATTTATAAATCTTAAATCTTACATAAAATAATAAGGATTTAAGAAATATTCGAAGAACTATGCCACTTTCTAGCTCTATATTGTCTCCACCACTGCCTAAAACTAATAGTTCGTTAGAACTTTAACGCAAATAACTTGTCAATTGCATTACTCTGTTAGGATTTCTATTGTTCCAGAGGTGATTGTAATTAACGATACTACATGGACCGTAAAATTATGTTAGCATACCTCAGGGGTGTAAGTATAATTTACCCTTTATTATTATTATTATTAATTATTATATTAAAAAATAATCCGGGTCGAAAAGATCCGAAACCAAAAAAACCCGGTCAAAACCCGTCAAATAAGAAGTCAGTATGACAGTACCCACCCACTACTTCACTACCCCAGATTTTCAGAGCTGTTTCTCTTTTTTTTTATTTTCCCCTTTTTCTCTTTGAATTTGGCGATTTTCAATTAATTTTTTGCTCCCTTTTTTCTCGCCTGCAACAAAAAAAGTTACAGAAGATGGGTTCTCCGACTCCGTGCTAATCGCTTTACGCCATTGCAACGGCTACATTTCACGGCATCAAACGGCGCGCTGTTCCGATTATATATCATCATCAAATTTTTTTTTTTTTTTTTTTTTTTTTTTGTTTTGGGCGCTACGATTCAGTTGACTGAGAAAAAACGAAGTAAAACCTAAAAATCGAGAAGGGCGATGAACTACAGCAACAATGATAAGTGAGTTTTTTTTTTTGAATCCCTACTGATTTTCTCCTAGTTTTTATTTTATTTATTTTTTTGTGAGGGTTTGCTTAGTGCTGCAAATGCTGCCAAATTTGTGGAAGGTGGTATAATTTGTGCTGGGATTTTTTAAATTGGAAAAATGCTTGTTATTCTGAATGATGGTTATGCTTGATTTTTGTATGATCTGGTTGATTTTGCTTTAATCACGTGATAATTGATAAAACAAAATGGTGATGATTTTGGTGTGTTCTTATTGGTGAATGCCTTTAGGGTTAGGCGCTTTTAGCGGGTTCAAAGTGAAGCGAATCTATGAATAATGTTAAATGAGTGAGGAGGATTTGTCACGGATAAACCACCGTTATTTTTACGTTTTTTCGGAGTATTGTCTCCACCATGTTTGTATTCTTGAAAATCGTATATTAATTGTATACATTACTTATGATATTTAGCATATTTAATCGTATGAAACTCTTGTCTCTGTGAATTGGTGACAGTGAGATGTGGGATTGGCAAGGCCAGGATTGTGGGCTTGAAGATGATACAAACATAGGTGAATCTGCGTTTTTTTTTCTAGTTTCGAATCTTCGTCTAATTATGTTTTTTTTATTTATTTGATCGAGGCATTGATGTTTAGCTTTGTCTTAATACCATTGGCAGAGATATCTAATTGTCTGCTGACCGAATTGAACCAAAACGAAGACCGTAGATTCGATGATGCTACTACACCAGTGAAGGCTTGTGGGGATTTAGCTTACAGTGTAAACAACAATGGTACGATGTTCGATTCTTTTATTCTTGTACACTTTCTCTTATCATCTTTATCTAGTTTTTGCACTTTGTTTAGTTTTTGTAGTTCTCTTAGTTTTCTGAATTGTAATGCTTTTAGGCCTCGTTTAAGAACGTTAATGGGATTGATAAAATTGATTGAACTGTTAATATGTGATCTTATGTTTGGGATCTGTGATTATACAGTCTTTGTATTGGGTAATATCCTTCAAAGGATTACAAGATTGTGTGATACTAATAAGGGTTGAGTTTGGACTGAAATACCCGGGCCCGTTTCTTATCACGAGCTCGATACATAAACCTTAAATATTTGACTTCCTATCCTAATTTCCAAATCAGACACTATGGTTAGCAAGAGATGTATAGTTAAGTACTGGAAGACGTAATTAAGAATTCCCAATGGTTATGTTCGTTTTGCAAATTCTTTGTTTAAGAAACTGAGGCTTCACTTGTACGGAAGATTGAATTCACGATTTAATTCATCTGCTCATCAAATGTATTCTTACATGCACAATGACCTTGCTTTTAAGGCTTGATATCCAAACAAAAGAAAAGGGTTTATTTCAAGAAAATGCAGCTTACGTATGTACATTCTAAACGAACTGCAGAAATTACGGGTAAAGATGTAGAGCAATACAGAGAGACTTCCTCGCAAGTGAAAAGGCGAAGAATGCTACAATTTGAGACGGATGCGCTAAACCCACCACTTTACAACGACGACATGTTTTTAAGATCTAAGGTTTGATAATGCCTCTTCATTCTTTCTTTTTCGATATTTTTGTAGCATCGTTTCTGTTCCTAAATAACCACATTTCTATTTTCAGGAAACGCAGGAATCTCTTGGAGATGCTATTTCCGATATGTCGGAATGGGTTGCTGGATTTGCAGGTGCCTTTTTTCTTGCAAATTTCTAAATATACAGGAAATGAAAATCGAAGTGGAAATGTTTAAAATAATAAATTCGATATTTTTCCAAAGGCCCGTCTGAATCCAGCAGCGAGTATCTGGACCCATCCGCCGAAGGATGGATTGCTGATTGCTTAAACGATGATGAGATGAATTTCACCACTGAAGATATGTATGTTTTTTTTTTTTCCGGTTACTCTTTTACTCACTTCACTTCACTTCACTTCACGATAGTAATAATAATAATTTCTTACTAGCTTTTTTCGCCTCTAACAGTAGCACTTCTCCCGGTGCATCTGATTTCCATGTCGACATCACAGGTAACAATAAACCGGTTATTGATAATAATTTCTGCACTTTCAATATATTTGTTTTAAAATATCCCATTTTGAAATAGATAATTATACTATTGCAGAGCTTAGTGATACCCCTTCCGAGTACAATGCTAATGCAGTAGAAAGACATCCAGTTCATACCAACAAAAATGTCGTTTTCAAAGGTATTGTTTTTAAATTTATTTATTTTATTTTATTTTTTCCCCACCTCTAATTTCAATTATATAAAAAACAGGATTCTTGATTTTTTTTCTTCTGTATACATATATTGTTTCTTGACCAATCAGGTAGAAAGTCGTATATGCGTAACCCTCCAAAGCTAGCTTCTTCGATTGTATATCCCTTCACATTCATTAAACCATGTGGGGTCCACGGGGATGTGACCCTGAAAGACATAAACCGAAGAATACACAATCCACCAAAACCGAAGCAGAACGATCCCGAAGCTTCCGGACCTTACCCCACCTCAGCATTTTCGGGAAAGCCCGTTGTTGGTAAAACAAAGATTCGAACGGAAGGCGGAGAAGGCAGCATTACCATCGTTAGGACTAAAGGGTAGTTTCTTTCTTCCCTTTACTATTAGAAGCTATAAATCTATGGTCAATATTATTAACACTATGGTTTTTGTAAGTCGAAATTTATCTTGTTTTGGTGATTTTAGCAGTAATTAAGGATCTTGACCTCTAGTTGATCCTCTGACTTTCCCCTTGTCTCGTTTAGAGGGAAACTTTTGACTTTTCGACGTGGGAAATGCGTTTATGTATTTCGTACTTAGTTTGTAATTAGTGGTTGCACTTGGATCATCAGATTTTAATTTAATTTGTTGATATCTCTATTGTGTTTTTATTTATTTTCTTCAGTTTGTTTAATTTGATGGGGTAAATTACAACCAACCCCATGAGGTATGGTCAATTTACGAAAAAAACCCCTCTTGTTTGGATAATTACATTTACCCCCTCAACTAAGATTTTTTCTTACACCTCCACCCTTATGTTGTCAAATTCAACATAATCATTTAGATTTTGTGGAATGCGATCTACTTTGTACTCGTTTTGGTGTAAAATTACAGTTTCTAATGCACCACAATCTGATATATACAAGCTAGAAAACACATATTATGATCATCTTGCTTCAAAATGTAGAGTTCGAATGGGATAAAACGGGTACAAAAGTGATAATATTCTATATAATCAAGAAGATTCCACTAAATTTGAAACCGTAGGAGTGGACGTGAAAGAAAATTTATAGTTGAGGGGTTGGTGTAATTACCCGAATAGGAGGAGAGTTTCGTAATTTTACCATACCTCAGGGGTTGGTTGTAATTTACCCGTATTATAATTATAGTTTTGCTCCATTGGGCTTGAAGAAATATGGGTAGGGCTTTATCTAAGTTGTTCAATTGGACTTGCATTTCGAAAGCCCAAAGTATCTTTATCATGATATTGTAGCCCATTTAATTTTATAAAATATTAATTCTATAAAATAAATGTCGAATTCGGCACAATAAATAAAATAAAAATTAAAATAAAATTAAAATTGCCTGCAGAAGCGCGTGCAGGCCTCCGGCTTACCTTTACTAGGGAAAGTATATTATTTTGTTTTAACTTTTAGGTCAAATTACGGCCAGCTCCTCGTGGTAATATCAAATTACTGAAAGATCCTTATTGTTTGGTTAATTAGAATCATGTCTCTTAATTAAATATGATCTTACATGTCCATCATCACAAATTCAAATTTACGTATTAAAGGAGTTTTTTTCGTAAAACAATACACATAGCTGTGATTGTAATTATTCAAATAAAATAATTTTTTTTTATAATTTAACTTTATCTCAGGGGATTGACGTAATTTACTATTTGTTTTATTAGTTTAGTGTCTTTTTGACTTTATTTAATTACTATTTTGTATTATTGGTGAAATTAATGTATGTACTGTCTTCCAATAGCTAAAAGAAAGTGCTGACTTGAGACCTATGTCACAAGCAATGAAGCAAAAAAATAGGTAAAATGTCAGAATTGACCCTTCGATTACCCATCAATGTTCATAAAGTCAGCTATTGCAAAGTATAGGTTAACTAAAACTCACGATTTTTTCCGTACCAATAAATAAGGATGTGATAATCGTCGTTCGAGTTTTAATAATACCGTTTCGACTTCAAACGTGATTTTGATCATTTTTTATTTCAAATTTTGCAAAACCCGAAAAATAGGATTTGTAGTATTCTGAGTTAGTTTTCTAATCCAACTTGAATCACCAAAATTGGATGTCGAACGAGAAAGATATACATGAATCAATGGATACTGCCCACAACTTTGATGTATTGAGGTATCTAATTCAAAATATGACTCATTCATGCATAACTTTGTCACACGACATCCAATCTAGCGGATTTAAGTTGAATTGGAAAACTAACCCAAAGGATTACAGTTTTCGTGTTTCGAATTTTACCAAAATTAAAATAGAAATATGTCAAAATCAGGTTCGAAATCAAAACAATTTTAGTAAAATTGAAACGACATTTAACATTTCAGAATAAATAACATACATCCCCACTAATAAGAATTATGAATATTTATAGGTGGTAATTAGGGTATCATAGATTATAAATTCTTGTTTTTTTTTTTCTTTTTTTTTTCTAATTTTTTTTTTTGACGAATTAATTTAAAAAAAATGAAGTGGGGTGGATTCTTTTCCATGAACTTGGGTCGATGAATTTGAATCTCATAAGATACAACCAATTCATGGCAATTGATTTAGATCTTATTGAATTTGAACCCCATAGAATTAAAACGAGAACTTTCAGATGGACAATTCTACTTATAAAATCTAATATAAAAAAATAAAATAAGTTCCATATTTAAATACTTAAGCCATAATTTTTGAAATAAAATCTAATATCTTATGAGCTTAGAAAACAATTTATTAAAAATAAAAGCTTATACAAAATTTTTAAAAACTACTCTTTGACATTTAATTTTTACCAAGTCTTGTCAAGTTGATGGATTAGGTGGAATATTAAAATCACAAATTATATAAAAAATAATCGAATAGCATTCATTAAAAAAAAAAAAAAAATAATAATACAAGAACAAGAATCCATTAAAAATATCCAACAATTTGTACATATGTATATACAGAAAATGAAGATAAAAACAAATTTCTTTTTTATCACTCCTGTTTCATTAAAAAAATAATAAAAATCAGAATTAAACTAGCAAATTACAATTAGACCCTCATCCATCACGGTAAACTCCCTATTTATGGGAGGAAAAGGGAAGGGCATTTTGGTAAAGAAACACCGTTATTGTAGTTTACAGGTAATTTAGTTGGAAGGACATGCACGGAACAGTACATTTGTCCTTTATAGTATCTATCAATCAAAATGAAGGAATTGAATGAATGCTGTCTGTCTCATATTAATTATTACATATTTTTATTTATTTATTATTATTTATATATATATATATATATAAAATATATGCAGAAATGGTAAACCTGAATTACTATAATTCTATAAGCATCTTCTCTCCTCTTTCTCTCTCATCTCTCTCTCTCTAGTGAGAGAAAGTCAGGGTTCGGACCATGACTTTGAATGCGCTATAATTCGATTATTTCATGAAATTATAATTTAATTTTTGAAAAATTAATCTCTTTCTTTGTAGGGATTATGTTGACCCAGGAATTCTTCTGTTGATTTTTGCGGAAAAAAAAGGTAATTCAAATTTATGCGTCTTTCTTCCTCATTTTTTTCTCTTACATCTTTCATTTGGGGGTTTTTAATCGGATTGATTAATTGATGGGAATTCTTGATTTTTTTTAATTTAATTTTTTCTTAATCTTGTGGGGTCAAATGCCTTTTGCCTTTGTTGGGTTGAAGAGTATTTGTTCTTAGACGAAGAGATTGGGTCGTTTTCTTGGGTGGGTTTTTTATTTTTTTTATTTTATATTTATATATATTTATTTAGTTATTTAGTTTTTGTTTGTGATGAAATTATTTGGTGTTTGTAATTTTTTGAAAGTCAATACATATTTTTCCTTGAATTATTCATTTCAGATCCTTATACTAATTCCTCTGATTATAAAAGATATATATGTGTGTGTGTGTGTGTGTGTGTGTGTGTGTATTTCTTGTGTTATTTGACTTATTTTATTATCTTGTTTGCCTATTGATGATGATGAAAAGCTATTTTTTTTTTTTTTTGTAAGAAAAAATATTGAATAAAAATTATAAATTCTTGCGATAAGCCGATTTTAAATTTAGTTCCTGGGATCGACTGTATTGTTATTTGCTTATTTCCGACAACATATTTCAAGAAATAAAACCCGATTTGTATTTGTTTCAGCAGAGGAATTCCTGAGTTGCAGAAAACATGGATGCGAAAAATAGCGACGAAATCGGGGAGATGTCGAAATTGAAAGGCGTGGGGAGTTTGAGCGACAATGCATTAGATAGGAACAATGGAAGCATTAGCAGCAGAGACATGATTTTTCGAGCCGATAAAATCGATCTCAAAAACTTAGATGTGCAGCTCGAGAAGCATTTGAGCCGCGTTTGGTCGAAAAACGTGGAATCTCAGAGTAAGCAGAATATTCCAAAGGAAGTGTGGGAGATTGATCCTTCGAAGTTGGAGATTCGATACCTTGTCGCTCAGGGTACTTACGGAACTGTTTATCGAGGCACTTATAATTCTCAAGATGTCGCAGGTATATTTAATTTAATTTAATTTTAATTTATTTGTCGCAATGATTATTCATCTCGATACAAACGTAGTTGTTTTTAAGGACTCGTATTGCTCTGTAATAACGAGTTCTTGTCCTTACAATGTTGGCGAATATCTACTTCACAAGTTAGCAACAAATACCATTTTATAATATGCCTAGTCGGAGTTTCTTTACTGTGGTATATTTACGATTTTACCCCCGAAGCAGATAAAATTACCATTATACCCTTTCGTGTTTACAGTGAAGCTATTGGACTGGGGAGAGGATGGCATGTCCACAGCTGCTGAAACTACTGCACTTCGAGCATCGTTCAAGCAAGAAGTTGCCGTTTGGCACAAGCTCGATAATCCAAACGTTACTCGAGTAATTAATAATATCCTAACTCAAATCTTTTATTTATCTCATTATCTTTTTTCTTGTCATGTTAGAGATCTAATAAGTTGTTTTTTCTAATATAGTTTATCGGAGCTTCGATGGGGACTTCGCAATTAAAAATTCCTTCGAAAACTCCTTCAGAGGGCTACACGAACCTACCGTCGAGGGCTTGTTGTGTCGTAGTGGAATTTCTCGCAGGTGGGACCCTTAAGAAATTCTTATTCAAGAATAGGAAGAAGAAGCTCGCCTTTAAAATCGTGATCCAACTCGCTTTGGACCTTTCTCGAGGGTAAGAAAAAAAAAATATTTCCAATTTTAGATTTTTTTTTTTTCTTTTTTCGATCGGGATATACTTGTAGTTATAGACGATTTTTTTACGGTACTTTTGTTCTCAAACAAATAAACTTGTTGTAGATTGAGTTATCTACATTCGAAGAAAATCGTGCACCGTGATGTGAAAGCCGAAAATATGTTGTTGGATACTCAAAGAACGTTGAAAATTGCGGATTTCGGAGTTGCTCGTGTCGAAGCTCAAAATCCGAGGGATATGACCGGTGAAACGGGAACCCTTGGCTATATGGCACCCGAGGTATGGTCATGATATTTTTTTTTTTACGGGAAAATTGTGAATCTTATAGTTAGCTGTAATAAGATTGCGAATTTCTTTATCTTGGCTAATCCCATCGTGGGAACGTAACCAAACAAAGCCTTAAATAATATTTGATCGATGCATCTTCGATACTGTACTCAGGTGCTCGATGGGAAACCATATGACAGAAAATGCGACGTCTATAGTTTTGGAATATGCTTATGGGAAATATATTGTTGCGATCTTCCGTATCCAGACCTTAGCTTTGCCGAAGTTTCGTCTGCTGTTGTCAGACAGGTAAAAAAAAATGTTATAATTTCACTACTTAACTTTACCGTAATTGTGAAAAAACCCCTCGTTATCATAAATATTAGCAAAAAATCCCGTACGCAACCACCTAAAATGGACTGTTTTTAGGGGGTGGTTTGCTAGTAAAAGTTGCATCATAGGGGTTATTTTGCTAATATTTATAACACGAGGGGTGCTGAATGCAATAAACACTAAATTTTGGATCTTTACAGAATCTACGGCCGGAGATTCCTCGGTGTTGTCCAAGTTCACTTGCGAGTATAATGAAGAAATGTTGGGATGCGAATCCGGAGAAGAGGCCCAATATGGATGAAGTTGTGAGGTGGTTGGAGGCAATCGACACCACCAGAGGGGGTGGAATGATTCCGGAAGATCAGGCGGGGGGCTGTTTCTGCTTTGCCCCCACACGTGGGCCCTGATTTTTTTTTTCTTTAAATCTTAAATTTGCCTCCATTTTCACATGTTTGATTGAGATTAGAATGTGTTTAGGTGAACTAAGCAAAGTATTTGTTGAAGTGAGAGATCTTGATCAATTGGTGAAGAGTTTGTGTATCAATCATTTATTAAATTAATGTTGGAGATAATTTGCCTTGTTATTCATTTGTGCCTCGTTTGATTGGGTACATATATATGATGATTGATTAAATAAATTGCTCCGATTTTGTATTTGGGATGTGATAAACGTCGTTTCAGTTTTGATAAATGATAATACTATTTCGACTTCAAATGTAATCTTGACAATTTTTGAGGCTGAATTTGGCTACACTCAAAACATTGAATTTGTAGTTGTTTTAGTCAGCTTTCTAATCTAAATTGAATCACCAAGATCGGATTTGATGAGAATAATATGCATGAATCAATGAGCATTCTCCACGATTCTGATGTCTCGAGTTATCTAAAATTTCTAAATAGAACTCTTTCATACACAACTTTGTAATTTGATATCTATAGTTGATTCAAGTTAGATTAGAAAATTAATTCAAAGGATTATAATTTCTGTGTTTTGATTTTTTTTACCAAAATCATATTAAAAAAAGGCAAAATCACGTGCGAAGTAAAAATATATCAATAAAATCGAAACGAAATTTAACATTCTATGAAAAAAACATAAATGACTTGAAAGTGGAATTTCAGGGTGGACCAATATTCTTGCAATTTGATCATAATTCATAGTTTCCCACACTTGTCTCCCATTCTATTAGGCTTTTTCAGATTTGGATATCTCACTCAACAATTCTTGTTTCCCATACGCAATGGAAACAAAAATAGTAACAGTATATATATATATATATATATATATATATATATATGTGTATATATATATATATATATATATATTTTGCAAGTAAAAATTCAATTTTAATAATATCAATAGCTTACGAAGCTTTTATTGATTATTACAAAGTAATCATAGTACGCAACATGAAATGCGGTTGGAGCATAACGTTCTCCAACTTGATTTGAATTTGTTTATTTTTTCACACAAAAAAAACAAAAAAAACAAAAAAGAAAAATAAAAAGCCCATAATTGATGGGGATAAGATTGATGATCGACACGACCAAAATGTTAATGAAGTGGATTTATGGTTTATTGCTCTATTGATATCTGACTTGGAATCATATATACAAGTTGTCATTCTAATTTTTTTTTTTTTAAAAGAAGGAGCCTGCATCCAATCATATTGATGCATGTGGTAAACTTATACTCTTGTATTTTAATTTTTTTTTTTGCAATGAAGGAATCCGGAACCAATCATATGTGCACTAATAAATCTACGCTTTCGTATAATGGTTTGTTAATTATACGAGAGAGGTTAACCACAGTAGATTAATTATGTGCGACTAACTCGACCTAGCGACAATTGACAAGGGAATTCGAATTTGAATCAACTAACACAAACTCACTTCCTCCATCCGCTAGGTTATCCCTTACGGACTGAGCGTTGGTCTTATATTTGATGTTCAAGAGAGATGACACAAATTTCATGTGATTATATTTTACCATACAATTGAGATAATATTTTTCACACATGCTTTATGTAATGGTTTTATTTTTTATTCTTTTTTGCTTTTTTGAGGAAATATAATGAATTTCATCTGTTTTTATGTCTTTGTTGTTTTCTCAAAACAAAACGAAAAAAAGAAAGGGAAAGAAAATAAAGTGCTTTAATTCGAGGGAAAATTAATATAGCCTTGATCTTGCACTAGATACATTGAAATAGATAATCAATGGCGGCATACAAAAATTTACCCCTTTTTGAGCAAAAAATTGAAGATTTTAAAATAAATACACGTACACCTCAATTATCAATCTTATTACACATTCACTAGATTTTTATCGAATTTTCTAAATTATAAGAAATATTTTCCAGTTTATACTCATTTTATCTTTTTCAAGCTTCACATTTTGAAAGAAAATGACATTGTAAATATCAAATTACGATTCATCAGAAACTACATTTGTTTTCACAAAATAAATACAAACTAGAGAGCATTCAATACATTTTTTTTCAAAATAAATACGAATTAGAGAGCATTCCACGTAACTAGAAGATTATATTAAATATTTATTACCATAACTCAAATATGATAATTTTTTTTCGTGATTTAACCTTATCGGTAACCGAATTTACACTATTCTAATTGATTTATTTAAATTTTAAAAGGTAGAGTTATCTTATGGGGAAAATTAATTATTAAATGGAATTCTTGTTTTCTACTCATATTCTTGCCAACGTTTTGCTACTGGCTTGAGTACACATAAAAAGAAACTTCTCTTCTCCTCTTTATATTCAGAACAAACAATACTCCCACCCCCACACACCACCACCACCACCACCGCCGCCGCCGCCACCGCCGCTTCCGCGGCCGTGTATACAGACAACTAAGAGTGCCCACATAAATCCAGTAATTTCTGCCAACATGGTTCTTAAAACAGCTGACCACCCTTCCGCTTTCATGAAAAGTTTCCTCAGCCAGTGCGGTGGCTCCGCCGTCATCGACGGCGGACTTGCGACGGAGCTCGAACGGCATGGGGCCAACCTGAACGATCCTCTGTGGAGTGCTAAGTGCCTCATTAGTTCACCCCACCTCATCAGAAGGGTACCCCTTTTTTCCTTCATATATATATATATATATATATATATATATATATATATATATATATATATATATATATATATATATAAACTGTCCCTATCTCAAATGGTCTGAGTACGAGGTTTATTCAGGATTTCATCATCGTTCTTTTTTTTTTTAAATTCCGTTAAATTAATTTAATCAGTCGAACATGCATATTTAATCATGGTTTTAATTTTTTTTTAATTTCTCTTTAATCTTCTTATGCCCCGTTTGGTTGACAAGATAAGATTAAATAATCTAATGAGACCCAATTATTTTATTGGAGGTTGAAAGGTCTTACAAAAAAAACTCATTAAAAGGCAAGATAAGCCAAGATAAGACAAGATAAGCCATGATTATATAATTTTGGCGGGTCGACCCGGCAAGTTATTGAGGATACCAAACATCAAATTAAGTCCAACTATTTAGTTAATCATGACTTATCTTGGCAACCAAACGGGTCTTATTTATTTGAGAAAAAAAAAGAAGTTTTTACACGTCATCTTCTGACGAGTAGGTGGATAAATTCTAAGTTCTCCACCTCGTTGTTCTCTTTCAGTACAATTCATGCCGTGTGACACGTGTCGTTTTCCTGCAATAAATTAAAGAACACAATCAAGATTAGGTGGCAATTTTGTAATTTTGGTGAAGTTATATGTGTATGTATCTAATCTACAAGTAGTGGTATGATTATAAACAAACCGAGTCGAGTTGAACGATACATATTTGTTTGAATTTATTCGAATATTTTATCGAGCTTTCGGAGTTGTGTTTGAGTTTGATTTGATTGTCGATCAGGTTCACCTGGATTACCTAGAAGCTGGTGCAAACATAATTATATCTTCATCTTACCAGGTCTTCACATTTTTCAATTTTAATTTCAAGAATTATTAATTTTACAAATTAAAAATTAATTATTATATTTTTGATCACGTAAACTATGGTGTTAAAATTAAATATTAATTTGTTATGTGCATGCATGTGACAGGCTACTCTTCAAGGTTTTGAAGCAAAGGGATTTTCGAAAAAAGAAGGCGAATCATTGCTCGAAAAAAGCGTTAAAATAGCATGCGAGGCTCGGGATTTATATTACGAGAATGCCACCAAGGGATCGTGGGACATTTCAACAGATGGAATGCTAACACCGAAAAACCGCCCCGTTTTGGTCGCTGCATCCGTCGGAAGCTACGGGGCTTATTTGGCCGATGGTTCCGAGTATAGGTTCGTTAAGCGAATACACAAACCTAACCCGTTGGATCCAAACGGATCCTATCCGTTTTTGATCCATTTACTTATTGCATTGTATTAAATTCAACTTTTTTTTTGTTTTGCCGTTCGATTTTGCAGTGGGGTTTATGGAGATAATGTCGGTTTAGAAACTCTTAAAGATTTTCACCGGAGGAGGGTTCGGGTTTTGGCCGAGTCGGGAGCCGATTTGATTGCTTTTGAGACCATTCCTAATAAACTTGAAGCTCAGGTATATATGTGTATATCTATCCTTTATGCTAATTTCATTGATCGTTTATCGTTTATTTACCGAAAACAAGGCCACTTTGAAATATATTTCGACATAATTTGGTTTGTACTCTTTGAAATAATGCAAATTAGTTAATTCGGTTTCTTCTAAGATGACGAAAAAAAAATTAAGGCCTATGTTTATCGACATGATAGGCGTATGCGGAGCTTCTTGAGGAAGAGGGAATAAATATCCCGGCTTGGTTTTCTTTCTCTTGCAAAGACGGGACCCACGTGGCAAATGGAGATTCGATTGAAGACTGCGCGTTGGTATCTAATTCTTGTGATCGAGTCGTTGGAGTTGGGATTAATTGCACCCCACCAAGATACATCCATGGACTCATCCAATCAATCCAAACCGTACGAAATTTCGTATAATAATTATAATAATAATCACAAAGGATTATCATAATATTATGGTAATTTTCTCAAATTTAAGATCTAATTTAACTATGTTTCCACGATTTCGCATTTTGCAGGTGACGAATAAACCAATTCTTGTATACCCGAACAGTGGGGAGACTTACGATGGCAACAAAAAGGAATGGGTGGTGAGTCGATTTTAATCCAGATTTTGTTTGTTCTACAATGTAGGATCTAGGCGTGGAAAATTGGAACAAAACTTTCGAATTCCGCCGATTCCAATCCGAAAATTTTCCTTTTTTTGAACAATATTTTTCATTCTGAATTCCGATTTTTCTGATTCTTTTGGAAACGGAATTGGAGTTAGTTTTTCACTTCAGAGAAAAAAATGATTTTTTTTTCATCCGGAAATGCCAATTCCGATCTGATCCGTCCGATTTTCCCTCCTAGTTGGATTCCATTAAACACATTTTTTTTGTGATACAAATAATGTATATGTATAACATTGTTTACCACATTTAGAACCCTCTTTTTTTTTTTTACTAAAAAATGTTATACACAAGAATTGATGACTAAAATTCTATTTTTGTTGAAGCCATCGACTGGCATTGCTGATGTGGATTTCGTATCGTACGTGGGAAAATGGCGCGATGCTGGAGCTTCTCTTATTGGAGGTTGCTGCAGAACTACACCAAACACCATTAGAGCTATTTCCAAGATTCTCTCTAAGAACTGAATATTTCAATATATATATATATATATATATATATATATATATATATATATATATATATATATATATATGTAAGGACCTGAGCTTATAATTTGTATTTATGTATGAACCTTATGAAACCAAGAATAAAGTGTATGTATATATATATATATGTGTGTGTGTATGTTCTATTTTAAAGCAGTGCTAATCGAAACTATAGTACCTGGTAAATTTCGTACGATATTTAGCATTTCAGTTACGGTTACTGTCGAATGATGATTTTGGAACCGAATTATAGTCGAATTGCCAAATCGCTTTGTCTTTATAGCAAAATTTCAGCATAAGAAGAATTTAATCATATGTATATAAATAATTCAGAGAGCTCAAATGATTAAATCATTTAAAAATTTATCTGAACAAACATAAAGATGTCAAATTTCCAGTTAAAAGTTAGTTAAAAAGCTCTCTCAGAACATATCACAAACACTTTCTGAGCGCCGATGGCTTTCACCAGTGTTGTCTTCTCTCCTCCTCCGACCACCCCCTCCGCCAAATTAGCTCCAATTTCGAAAGCACAAATTCAAATTCAATCAGAGCCCATTTCACAGAAGCTCAATTCAAGTACTGGGTCTCTTAAATCTTGCAAGAATCTTCACGAAATTAAACAGCTGCACTCCCAGTTCACAAAGAATGGCGCAATTGGCGACGCCGCCGTACTGACAAAACTCATTGCTAAATATTCAGAGATGGGCTCTGCCGAAAGCTTGGAGTACGCACTAAAGGCTTTTACAATATTCAGGAACAGCAGAGAGGATTGCAGCGGTAGTAAAACTTACCTGTATAATTCTTTGATTAGAGGAAATTCAATAGCTGGGGATTCTCGTGAGGCGATTTCGCTGTATGTAAATATGCTGATTGATGGCGTTGAGCCTGATAATTACACATTTCCGTTTGTTCTGAGCGCGTGTACGAAACGCTTGAGCCTTTTCGAAGGTCTGCAAGTTCACGCCTCCGCCGTGAAAATGGGTTACCACGAGGATGTTTTCGTCTCCAACTCTTTGGTGTATTGTTATGGGGAGTGCGGCGAAACTGATAGTGCGAGGAAGGTGTTCGACGGAATGTCCGAGAGAAATGTCGTCTCCTGGACTAGTTTGATTTGCGGGTACGCTACGAAGGACTGGCATCAAGAGGCTGTCTCTCTGTTTTTCGAAATGGTGGCAGAGGGGATTGAGCCCAACGAAGTTACGATGACGAGCGTGATTTCGTCTTGTGCAAAATCGGGTGACGTTGATTTGGGAGAGAGGGTTCTTGATTATCTTACAGGATCGGGGCTAACTTCGAACGCTGTAATGGTGAATGCTCTTGTTGACATGTATATGAAATGTGGAGCAGCAGACAAGGCAATGCAACTCTTCGATGAATGCGTCGATCGAAATTTGGTTCTTTATAATACAGTCATGTCGAATTATGTGAAATTGGGAAAGGTTAGAGAATCACTTGATACATTTCGTGAAATGCTCGATTTTGGACCGAAACCGGATAGAGTCACTATGTTGTCAGTTATCACATCCTCAGCTGAACTAGGTGATTATAGCTTTGGTATGCAATGTCATGCCTATGTTTTAAGAAACGGGCTCGAAAATTGGGATAACATCAGCAATTCATTGATCGATATGTACGCAAAGTCTAATAGGCAAGAATTGGCTTGCAGAGTGTTCGATCAAATGCCGAACAAGACCACCGTTTCATGGAACTCTCTTCTTGCAGGTTTCGCTAGAAACGGTGACGTGGAGTCTGCTCGAAGGGTGTTCGACGAAATGCCCGAGAGAAATCTCGTTTCTTGGAACACAATCATCGCTGCTTTAGTCCATGAAAGTTTTTTTAAAGAAGCAATTGAGCTCTTCCACTCCATGCAGAAAGAAGGGTTAATACCAGACGAGGCGACAATGGTGAGCATTGCCTCAGCATGTGGCTATTTAGGAGCTCTCGATCTCGCAAAATGGACTTACAATTACATCAAGAAACACAATATCAACCGTAACATAAGGCTTGATACATCTCTAGTAGACATGTTCGCTCGGTGTGGGTCCCCCAAAATCGCAATGGAGATTTTCGACTCGATGAAGGAGAAGGATGTCTCTGCTTGGACAGCAGCAATCGGAGCAGTGGCAATGGAAGGAAACGGCAAACGGGCGCTAGAGCTTTTCGAAGAGATGGTCACGCGTGGGGTCCACCCTGATGCAGTAGTTTTCTCCGGTTTACTATTTGCATGCAGCCACTCGGGTTTAGTCAAGCAAGGAATGGATATATTCGAAACTATGAAGGAATATTATAACATCACCCCAAGTATTGTTCATTACGGGTGTGTAGTGGATCTTTTGGGTCGGGCCGGGTTCCTGAACGAAGCTCTCGATTTCATAAATGGTATGCCCGTGGAGCCCACGGGTGAAATTTGGAGCTCATTTTTAAGTGCTTGTAGAACACACAAGAACGAAAAGATGGCATCTTTTGCAGGAGAAAAGTTGACTAAATCTAATTACGAAAAAACCGGGGCCCACGTTCTTCTATCGAATATATACGCTTCTTTTGGAAAATGGGATGATGTGGCGACTGTAAGGATGCGTATGAGAGAAAAGGGTATGAAAAAAGTACCTGGTTCGAGTTCGATCGAGATCGACGGTGTGGTGCATGAGTTCACTTGTGGGAGCGAATCTCATCCGTCGAATGGGATCATTGCATCGATGCTTGATGAGATAAACGGTAGAATCGGAGATGAGGGGTATTTTCGGGATTTGACGAATGTTTTGATGGATGTTGATGAAGGGGAGAAGGAGTTTTTGCTGAGTCGGCATAGTGAGAAGGTGGCGATTGCGTTTGGGCTCGTTTCTTCCGGAAGGGGAGTGGCCGTGAGGGTTGTGAAGAATTTGAGGATGTGTTTGGATTGTCATACATTTGCGAAGATTGTGTCTAAAGTTTACGATCGGGAAATTGTAGTGAGGGATAATAAGAGGTTTCATTTTTTCCGGCGAGGGGAGTGTTCTTGTGGTGATTATTGGTGAATGTAGTGTGATTTTAAATTTTAAAATCCTTTCGGAACCAGGATGAAATTTTAGATTCCGAAAATTTCAGAACCCGTAATTCGAAATCATCTTTTACTTCCGAAAAAAAATTAGAACTTTTTCGGAAAAATAAAATTATTCCGACCCGATCCATCCAATTTCGATACCTAATTACCAATTTACCAAACAACTACAACTATGTGATCAAAAAAGGATATATAAAGGACTTCCAACAAAACATTTCAACATAGAACAGATAAATCTTAATCCGAAACAAAACACCATACGCGAAACCAAACAAAAACTTCTACATCATTCTAGTTTACCCTAACAGATTCTAACAACCTAGTTTCGGAAAAACGGGATCGATAAAAGCATGATACATCGAACAATCATTCCACATTTTAGCCAAATGATGTGGGGACGAGGTTTTTCGATTAATCTCTTCAACGAGCCAAATGCTGGCCTCAGCTTTTGACGGATGAACAATCGTGTCGAGGGGAATATTCTCGTTTTCTGCTCCGAATCTCTCTTGGTCCAAATTTCTCAAGTGAAGATTTGTAAGATAATGCAAAGGCTGCTCGTAAATCTGCTTAATCGAGCTGCCTAATCCTGTCCATGAAGTGTAGGGAATGATAGTGCCTCGTTTGGCTGGTATAGGTATCAACTTCATATATTCTTGGTAGCTCTTTGCTCTTCTGAATAGCCATGCTGTAATTTTTTTAAACCACGTCAGATAAAATCGAATGTAGATTTGACTTCATTTATCGATAGTTTTAGAATCGTACATCTGTACAAGAAACGCGAACAACTCTATGAAACGATAAATCAAAGAAACAGCCTCCTCTAAAATACGCATGTTTCTAGGGCGAATCGTCTTAGAATTACACGGGAAGTCTTAAATACGAGCAACGAACCAAAGTAGTTGGGTTTTTATGAGATAATTTAATCTTATCTTGACTAAATTTTATCTTAGGAACCAAACGAGGCCTAATATTTACTTTTATCGAATCAAATAAGGCATGATAGCTCATAATTAAAACGAATGAGAACAGTAATACAACTACTACAAAATCCGATATACATTGCAAATCCTATGCCATCAAAATATCCAAAAAAATTGCACAAACGTCGGTAATAAACGGTAGCTATTAAGTTGATTTAATTACCTTTGTCGGATAATTCTACGTCGTGTTCATCGTTTAGGTGATGGCTCATTACGACATCATCGTCTGCATCAGAGGAAGAAGAAGATTCGTCCGACGAAATCTCTACTTGATCATTAGATGGCATTGAACTCTTCATTATTGACCTATTCACAATCCAATTAAAAAAAAAGGGGGTTTTATTTAATGGAAATGCAAATTAAAGCAATCTCATAAAAATTAAAACTAAACACGAAGAACTAAAACTGCGATTTCATCATCGATTCCATTTTCGGGTTATATAATTTGAATTGCATTCAGATAAATTAAAATTTAATTAGCTCTGATAAATTTGCAGCATGATTTATGATTTGGGGGAAATTAATTGCAGCGGTAACCTAGAATAACACAAATTGACATAAATGAGAAATGGGATCAAGGAAGACGACGATATATTTGATTAAAAAATTAAAAAATGCCGAGAAATAAAATTCAGGTACCGCAGACTCCAAATCATCGAAGAAAAATTACAGAGAAATTCTGAAAAAAAAAAAAAAAAAAAAACAGAAAGGAGAGAGAGAGAGAGAGAGAGAGGGCGTTATTTACCAGGTTGAATTTAGAGAGAGAGAGAGAGAGAGCGCTGCGTTTTGGATATCGTCAGCACTGACAATTGAGAAAATACAATTTCCACAAATTAGTTTTTTAAATTTATTATCTAAAATTATGATTTTATTGTGTGTAATAATAAATAATGGTTTATCTTATCCAAAATTATTATTATTATTATTAAATAATGGTAAATATTTGTTTTTACGAAAATATGATAAATTTATAAAAGGTAAATTACACCTTAGTACCATTTCCGTACCTTCTACTACTCACGTCTTGTATTATATGATGTTTTAGGTGATAGTGTAGTTATTAAGAAACTCAATAAATACAGATTGAATATAGTAATAAAATGTAGTAAGTACTAAAATATCCTCGCTATTAATTATTATTTGAATTAATGTTTTATTGAAAATTTAAAGTAACAAATAATTTAGAAAAAAATCTCCAGAAAGAGAAATAATATGGGATATAGAGAATATTGAAAAAATGACGAGATCTCGATTAGACATATATACCCTTCATATTGAGTAAAATTATATTAAAAAAAAACAAACAAACAACTTGCATTCAATTAAAGAAAACATTTTTTTTAAAAGAAAGTTTTTATTTATTTATTTTTGGGCCATTTGAGCCGAGTACATACTCAACCAATAAATAATCAACTATTTAAAATATCACATAAGCCCATTTAAGTATCCATCAGCAAGTATAAAATTTATGTGCAAATTAAATCAGAATTTGATCCCAAATGCATCTATATATTTAATTAGTCGCAATTAGCAAAAATAAAGCATATTTAGGATGTGATTACGGCAGTATTAGCATATGATATGTTTTATTAATGCAATTTAAAAATGATTGAGTAAAGACAAGGTTAAGGAATAAGGATTAAGGAATATCTAATCCGAATTCTTTCGGTGTAACTATTTATTTAATTTAAAAAAGGGGAAAAAAAAAAGTTAAATGAATATGCAGCAGCCTTATTCTTTATCTTATGTGATTATCTTCCCTTTATGGTCTTTTGCTTGGTTGATTATAAGAATTATAATTATTATTAAAAAATAGAATTATTTTTAAAGCTTGAGCATGAGTTAGCTCAAGCTCATCGAATTTTATGAGAGTCAGAAAATCTCAACTCGTAGAGCTCGATTTCGAGCCTTCTGAAACAGGCGAGCTCGACTCGTTCACTTCCATATGCAGAACAGTGAAAGAGTTTAATGCCTGATATATATGAGAACTACAACACGCAAAATATGACACAATATATATACATTTATTTCAAAATTTATTGCACCAGACTGTAATAAATAAAAATGGTAATAGAAAGATGTATCTTTTTGTATTTTTCTTTTTTTCTTATTTGTTAAACATTAATTAAAGAATGAGTTGTAAACGAAAAAAAGTTATGTATGGAGATTTGAATTATCTCAAAGGGAGCAAGAAAATATTGTAAAGAAAGGATAAATATTAAAAAAATATTAAAAAAATATTAAATATAGAAGCGAAAGTGCAAAAGGAAGAGAGCACTATTGAATTGGGGCCAATTACAAAAGGAGAAAACCCTAAAAAAAAGCAGAAGATCAAATTTTGCTCTTTTTTGACTGTATAGTGAATCTTGATTTTCTGCCTTTGATTCATCAAATGCAAGTGTTTAGATATGTTCTTGCTCTTTTTATAATATATAGGGTAATTACCGTTACATCTCTGAGATATGCTAAAATTATTTTACGGTCCCTCTTGTATCGATAATTACAATTACCTCTGAAACATAGTTAGAAATTAAACTCCAACGAGATAATGCATTAGATAAGTTATTACGGTTAGAGTTCTAATGGTCTATTAATTTCAGGAAGTCACCCCTTAGCTCTACATTGTCTCCACCACTTCCTGAAATTAATAGTGCGCTACGACTCTAATTACCGATATCATAGGGACCTTAAAGTTATTTTAGCATACTTCAGGGATGTAGGTGTAATTTATGGGTAATATAAAACGAGATAAGCCATGATAACATAATGTTTACGGGTCGACCAGACAAGTTATTACGGATACCAAACATCAAACAAAGTCTAATTATTTAATTGATCATAACTAATCTTCCCAACCAAACGAGGTCTAATAGGAAAAAAAAACGAAGAAGTCAATTAACATCACGATTGAAGGGGTACAAAGGCATTTAATTTGACAAATAAAATCCACCCACCCTAAAATATATGATGGATTGATGCAAAAACCCTAATGATCACAAGTTTTGTTTGGGTCCCAAAAAAATAAGGTATAAGTCTAAAATTGTAGTGGATGCTTCACTAATAATTATATTTGTTCATGACTAAGGTTTAATGGGACCAAAATTAAGCACTTCCGCCGTCAGCTTAATTTACTAGTAATCATTATAATTTTGCTTTGCCCCCTAAATAATCATGAAAATTTGACAAAATAATCCAAAATATATTAACAAATAAATCTTTAATTTATTCTTTTAATTAAATTGCATTTCTTTAAGACGAGTCAACAAAGAATTTTGGGCTTTTGATGATTTTGGTGTTGAGCATGGTTTCAAAGTATTGAGCCAAGAGATTGACATATGGTTGCATGTACTCCGGGAAGGGCGGCGGCAGCCGGATTGGCCGCCGGCGTGGCCCCACAACCTATGTGGATTTTAATTTTTTTTTTTTTTTTTTGTTTTGTTTTTTTAATTTTCGAATTTTTTATCAAGGCTAAAAATCAAATCATATAGTCTTTACGGTTTACGTCGACCAGTCGAAAAATTATTGGACTAATCAAAAAATAAATAATAAAATGAGGTATACGTTTTCGTAAGGAAATATATAACTTTTTTCTTGATAATTACAAATAATACATGGAGGCGAGTGCAGTTTACGTCTTTCGTGCGCGATTTACAGACTATATATTAAACGATAACTGTGTTTATCCAAATGCACGTACTTGACTGCATGTCTCTTTCTCATTGAAAGAGAAATGGGAAAAATCAAAGAAAAGAAATAAGATAATTAGCAAGAGGAAAATAAAATCCAAAATAATCCACAAGATTCACGAGTCAAAGACAGGCAATAAATCGATTTTTTTTATGCTACACCCGATGAAGGTTACACTTAATGAATTTTTACCGTTGATCTACACACCAATATGTGTGTGTGTGTGTGTAAATGTAAAAATCTACACGGTGTATTTCATCGAGAGTGGCAGCTCGTGAAAGTAACTTATGCATTCAAAAGGAAAGGACCACAAACCCCCTAAACTGAGACATCTGCTCCTGTCAATATTACACAACCACTATTTTTTCAGCCTCAAATGCTTCTAACTATATTCCCCACATTTTCTTTAATTCCTTGTCTCTCTCATTTCATTTAATTTCATTTTATTTATATATATTTTGTTTATTTATACAAATCAATATAATAATTCTTCATCTTTTTAGGCAATCACATACAAGCAATGGCAAATATATTGTGGCACCCTATAATAGCATTTAATTTTCTTTTATATTTAACATTTTAGACTTTCGATCCGAAATTTTACTAAAATTTTCACATTGACGAAAATCTCGATCCGAAATTTTACTAAAATTTTCACATTGACGAAAATCTTTTAAAAAATGAGGGATCGAGTGACGAATGCTATTTCGATGTCGACGAAAGCGACAAATATTTTACGTAATTTTTGTATTAAATTCTAAGGACTAATTAACTAAAAATATGTGTAGATATTAACACAAACCCCAAAAAGAAATCCTTAATGCTCAAACAATTGACAATACTCTTAGCTCTCCAACCAATTGCCAAAAATTCTTGCAGCAGACAATAATAAAAACACCAGAGTCCAAGAAAAGAAGATATATTATTACATTGTATAAAGCAAGAGAACAACAACATTAAAATAAAAAAATAAAATAAACCCTTAAAAGAATAACATGAAAAAAATCAAATACAGCAAGCTTTCTCTTTATTTGCTCTTCTTTTGCTCTTCTTTTTTGATCTGCTTTAACTTTGGTAGTAAGAGATATGGGAAACAAAATATGTATTTTTTAGCCTTTAAAACAAAATCTTGGCCTTTCTTTCTCTCTCTAACTTTTGCTGACCAATTAGGGCAACCCAATTCAGGTCGTTTTAGTCATTGATCGTCGGCAAAACGACGACCCAGTTTGCCCCCACACCCGTTATGCTGGGCCGGCATTGGGGTTTGGGTTTTTTTTTTTTTTTTTTTTTTTTAAAAAAAAAGTAAAAAACGCACACACCAATGTGGGTGTGTGTGTGAGAGAGAAAAGTTAGGGGGGGGAGGGGTGCTGTTATGGCTTGCACTTTATTCTGTTCAAAATTCGATACTTTGCTGTTACTTATTTTTGCTACTCATCAGAACCGAGTCTCTGTTTTCAAGAAAAAAAGGAAAATCAAAATCTCTCTTTCTCTCTCTCTCTCTCTCTCTCTCTCTCTCTCTCTATTCTCTCTCTCATAATTGCGTTGTCTTGTTCTTAAGTAACTCTTGTCTCATTTCTGAGTCGCTAGCATTTCGGGCATATTCACATTCACTGCGTGTTCAAGAAATAAAAATTGAATCTTGATGGGAGTTTCACAGTGAGATGCTGTAAAAACTGAAGAATTTCTGAAAATTGGGGTTGCCCTTTTGCAAATCTCATCACTTTCTTTGCATGAGAGTTGGAATTTGAAGGAATTGGAGGCAAATTAACAGTAGAGAAACTTAAAAGGGCTTTTTTTTTTTTTTTTTTTTTATCATTGGAGCAATTCAGTGTCAAAGATCGGATTTTTATTTTTATTTTGGAAAGATTGTCGCATGAAGAAATAGTGTGCAAAGATGAAAGATGAAAATTCCAAGAAAAGCAAGGTTTTTTTTTTCTTTACCCCAACTTAAAATTTCTTGAATTTTTATTTTATTTAATTTTGTTAACTTTGCTGATATGAATTTTAATTTTGTATTATGTGAAGCTCTCATGGTCTAGAAAATTGATCCGAAAATGGTTCAGTATCAAGTGCAAAACTGAGGAAGATGGAGCTGTGTATAAAGGTAAATATTTTTATTTACTTATTTAATTTTATTTTGCTGATATGAATTCTTGATTTTTTTTTTTTTTCTGAATTTTTTAATTTGATTAGTGATTTATTCTGTCTGTATAGGTGCTGATGTGGAATGGAGGAACAGCTTCTCTGAGAGGGAGCCATCCACAATCAAGAAAAGTAAAACAGGTTAGTATTTTTCGAATCTACCGTTTAAAAACTCCGTAATTCCCTTGCAATTTTAATCAATGTTGATATGTGAATGCTGAAATGATTTTGCAGAAAATTCGACGAAGAACGTAGAGCGTTCGTTTTCCCGTTCGAGGTCTCGTTCGAGGCGGGGCAGAGGCTATCTCGATCACCCTCAGATCATAAATATACAGAACTATAGGTTTGTTCGTTGCTGTAATTTTTTTTAATGTTTTCGATCTTTTTTAGTGAAATTCTCAAAGAATTCGATTTTTTCTCGATTAGTGTTTTCGTATCAACATGGAATGTGGGAGGAAAATCGCCCGGGAACAATATGAACTTAGATGATTGGCTACATTCTGCCCCCCCTGCAGACATATACGTACTCGGGTATAGCATAATTTCGATTTCGTAGTTCGACTTATTGAACTTCGCCCTCGTCCTTATAACGAATATAGTTTTGTTTTTTTGTTTTTGATTAATTAGATTTCAAGAAATAGTCCCGCTAAACGCCGGCAATATTCTCGGTGCTGAAGACAACGGCCCCGCCAGAAAATGGCTCTCTCTCATCAAGAAAACCTTAAACAACAACGTCGAGAATGACCGTTATACCCCTTCGCCGGTACCAGACCCCGTCGCAGAATGGAACTCCGATTTTGAGGGCTCGAACAGAAACAAAGCCTCGACTTTTCTCCCCCGTCGATCCTTCCAAACACCACAATCCTCGAGAATGGAAAATGACGGTTCTACCCCTCAGCCTCGTCTCGATCGGAGATACAGCGTGTGTGACCGTGCATTCTTCGGCCACAGGCCGAGTGACTCTTCGTCTAGTCATCGCCCGAGCGACTACTCTTCGTCGGGCCCGCGTGCGAGTGACTACTCGTCGAGCCGGAGGCCGAGTGACTACTCGTGGGGCCAAAGGGCGAGCGATTTTTCACGGTGGGGTTCGGACGAGGATTATATGAATGGGGATTCGCCCAGTACAGTTCTCTACTCTCCAACTTCGTACAGTGCGTATGCACCTGCGATGGATGATTCTTGCACCGCGATTGGACGGTCGAGATACTCTCTAGTTGCGAGTAAACAAATGGTCGGTGTTTATCTCACTGTTTGGGTTCGGAGTGAGTTGACCGAACATGTAAGGAATATTAAGGTTTCTTGTGTTGGCAGAGGATTGATGGGCTACCTTGGTAATAAGGTAATAAGACTGATTTTTTTTTTTTTTTGTTTTTTTGTTAATTCTTGAAATAATCGACTAATTTTATGGTTTTCTTATGAAGGGATCGATTTCGATAAGCATGTTATTGCATCAAACCAGCCTTTGCTTTGTATGCACTCACTTGACTTCTGGTCAAAAAGAAGGCGATGAATTACGAAGAAATGCCGACTTTATCGAAATTCTAAGGAAAACAAGATTCCCACGAGTTAACAGTGTGAATGAGGAGAAATCACCGGAGACGATTCTCGAGCATGAGTAAGATTAATATGCTTAAGTGAAAATGGAACTATTATATATATATATATATGCACACTAATATTTTCAAGAATTCATATTTTATTGCTGTTTACTGATAATTAAAAAATTTGGTGCAGTCGAATTATTTGGCTTGGAGATTTGAACTATCGAATAGCGCTTCCGTATCGATCCGCCAAAGCACTAATCGAAATGCAAAATTGGAGAGCCTTACTCGAAAAAGACCAAGTACGATATGTTATTATATATCGATATATGCTCTTCTTACAACATCAATTTGTTCATCGGCCGTTAAACATTTAATCGAAAAATATTTTCTTGATTTTTTCGCAGCTCCGAATAGAGCAGAGACGAGGCAGAGTTTTCGATGGGTGGAGAGAAGGGAAAATATATTTTCCACCTACGTATAAATACTCACATAATTCCGACAGATATGTCGGTGATGATATGCCTAAAGAGAAACGAAGAACGCCTGCATGGTAATAATAATTAAATTCTGCATGCTTTTTTTTTTTTCTTTTTTTCGAAATTAAGTACTAATATTATATTTATATATGAAGGTGCGATCGAATATTATGGTATGGAGGTGGGCTCCAGCAATTATCGTACACGCGTGGTGAATCTAGGTTTTCGGATCATAGGCCAGTTTCGAGTGTGTTTTGGGCAGAAATCGAATCGGCTCCTAATCGATTAAGGAAGAGTATGAGTTATTCGAGCTCGAGAATTGAAGTTGAAGAGCTTTTACCTTATGCACATGGCTATACCGAACTCTGCTTCTTTTAGGTAAAATGACGTTTTTACCCCCCCTAAATACACGTATATCGTTGGATCAACGATTTTTTTCAAAACGAGGACTAATTATTTTCTTTCTAAATGTGATTTATTCATTCCTATGGATCTTGTTAAGTATTTGCACTAAACTTCGTCTAGTTCTTTTTTTTCAGGTACCGTTTTTTGGTTTTTTTTTTTTTTTTTGATTTTTTTAAAGAAAACTCAACGACGGCGACATTTCTTAGCCCGATAAACGAGAAAGGTGAGCCCTTTTTTTTGTCTTAACTTGAAACATTCTCATGCACACTTTCTGATTTTTTATTTTTCTTTGTCTAATTTTGTTTTCTCTTATGTCTTTATCAGATGTAGATATTCACAAGAACTTGACAGCTAACTTCACACGACACGAATCGGTCGATCGACCTCCCGCTAATTTTCCTTCCTAACGAACTACAAATTAAATTCCCACTAGGTATCGTTTTTCACATTTGTAGCTACCGTTTCTCGTTTTTTTTTATTTTTTATAATTAAATAACGTAAATTTATTCGAGCCGAAATATTCGTTTGTAGAGACTTCTGTTAAACTTTTCAGTTTTTCCTCCTGATTTTAACACTTGATGAAGATTCTTTATTTGTTAAGACATAGATTCTTGAAAAGAAGAGAGTTAGATTGTGTCTCAAAATAAAGATCCTTTAATTGAAGAGAGTTAGATTGTGTCTCAAAATTAAAGATTTCCTTTAATTTTTTTATCATTATTAATAATAATAATAATTATTATTATTTTAGACAAGTGTGAATGTGATGTAACACTCATTGCTAACGTGATAGTAGAGAAAGAGAAAAGAATGAATAGAGTACAGCAAGAGGGCCTTGCGCTCTGTTTGGAGGTCAATGATTTTGTGCTGAAAAGTTGTTTTCTTGGTTTTCTCCCATCATACATTTATATACCCTTTGTCTGCTTTTTTCTTCTTTCCCTCTTAATTAATTAATAAATAACTGAGCTGAGAGTGCTCACAAACAGAGAACAACAACAAGTAAAAAAGACAGAGTCTGCAGATATTGCAGAAATGCCATTTTACAGTATAGTTTTTATATGTAAACTGTAAAAGGGTAAATTACGGCCACCGTCATGTGGTAAGGTTAAATTACGAGAAAATTCTTTATGTTTGGGTAGTTATAACCACCCGCTTCAACTATGAATCTTCTTACAGGTCCACCCTTATGTTCAACAGAATCTTCTAGATTCCGTGAAATGTATTATAGTTTGTTCCAAAATACGGTTTTTGATGCACTACAATCTGATATTTATAATGCAAGAAATTGTGTTCTAAGATCATCTTATTTCAAAATGTGGAGCTTGAATAGGGTAAAACAAGTACAAACTAGAGAATATTCTACATAATCTAGAAGATTCCACTTAATTTGACACATGTAAGAAGCTTCATAGTTGAGGAGATGCTTGTAATTACACAAACACGATGGTTTTTTCGTAATTTGACATATTATATGAGAGAGTGGTAGTAATTTACCCTATATGTAATATATATATGCATTACTAATGTATCTGAAATTCTTACATTATCTTAAATTCCTAAAATCACGAGGAGGTGTTTGCATGAAGGTGAGGACCCCCCCCTCCTCCCCTGGGGGCGTGGTGGGGGGGGGGGGGGTTGATTAATCCAAACTGCCCAATTATCTTGACTAGTGGCATCACCATTTTGGGAACAAGAAATACTACTCCAATAATAGAATAAATGAAAGGGGCTTGGTCAACTATTAATACATCAATGCTATATATCGGATCATGGGGTAGTTCGGACAGTTCAGATCGGAATTAACACTTCTTCAAAAGACCTAATTTAGGTTTTGTTCCAAGAAACTTCGAAAAATCGAAATTCCAGAAATGGAAAAGAAATATTTCAAAATTTATAATTTTCGAATTGAAATCGGCGGAATCGATGATGCTATACTTTTCTTATTCGTCTATAGTATAAAATATATTACGTAATTGATGCTATAGTTAAATCAAATTGATTTCTATATGCATATAAATCAACTCGAATAATATGTTTTTATAAGAAGAATTAAGCAAGCATGAAAACCCCACAAAAGTGTAAGGCGTGAAGGAAGCACGGGCAAAGAGCTCACATCATTTCAACTTTCCATGTTTAATAAGTAATAACAACACACACACACACACTCACAAATTGACACGTGTGTCTGTATGGTATTTATTATTGAATTACATTTTAATTAATATATATTGTTCAAATTAATTAAGATATATTAGAGAAATATATAGATAGATAGATGCCCGACAAGTCGAATGATAATGATGAGCAAACCTTAATTAAGTGATCATGCGATTCGACCTAGTAGAATGCCAACATTAATCATAAGCAGCTCTCTCTCTCTCTCTCTCTCTCTCTCTCTCTCTCTCTCTCTCTCTCTCAGACACACAAACACAGTTACAAGTGCTAGAAGAGCCAGACAAGACAACAGACTGAATTAAAAGGGAAAAAAAAAGAATAAAAGAAGAGACAATCAGAAAATTATTGCAGGATTAATTAATATAATATAATTATCATTTAGAGCTAGGCACCCCTCTTATTATTTAAGTTAAGTGTTCTTTGATTGCATTGTGTAACCGAGCCGAGCTCGAGCCGATCTTGGCTGTTTTGGCGAGCTCGAGCTCTTCGAGTATTTTTTTTCTGAGTTCGAACTCGAACTCGAGCCTGATCCATTTGAGTTTTTTTTTTTTTTTTTTTTTTATTCATATTATTAGAAATTTATTATCATAAATTATAATAAAAAAATCGAAATAAAAAAATGACATGTATTTTTTTCAATTATTAATATGAATTTTTTATTTATTTTATATTAGTTGTATTAAAAGAAAATTAAAAAAGGAATTACGTCATCCGGCAACGAAAACTCTACGAACAACTAAAAAAGAGCTCGGGCTAGACTTGTCAGAAAGTTTGAGTTCGAAAAATTCGAGTTCAAGCTCGAGCTTTTGTCGAGCCAGCTCGGCTCATCTACACCCCACTTGTGAGTGAATTAATACTACAAAATTATTAGTATTAGTGATAAAATATTAAATCCAAACGTTTAAGGGGCCGAATGTACAAGCACAACAGCCTAAAAGTGAGCCCAACAAGTATTAGCACAAGCCCATATTGGAATTATTAAAATCAAATATAATGAAAATATATATGTATTTTCAGACTATATGTAATATCCAACTCTAATTCTAGTTACAAAAATGTATAATATTATTCTACATGTTGAGATTAAAATTCAATAGTTTGCATTTGAATAACTACCGATCAGTTTGCCGGCGAGCTGACGGCGACGGAGGGTTGCATTTTCGTCGATAGCAATCTGACCTTCACGACATGCAGGCGAACAAAATACTTGAAGATAACTGCATGCATTAAAATAAATATACATGTTAGTTAATTAATTATTAATTACCGGTAATTTAATTAATACATTATTTTTATTAAAAAATAAAAATTAATACATTATTAGGATCAATAATTATGTATAGAGCTCCCAATATGCATGCATAATCTATAAAAAAATTATAAACTATATAATATAATATATTAGGAAAACTTAAATATTATATACATATATATATATATTTTATGGAAAATAAAATAAAAGAAATAAAAAAATATTATTAAATACATACGTACCCATACATGTATCTATCTTTACCCTTGATGATTCTTGTAACGGAATAAACGGTAATTCAAATTACCTAAGGAATAAACGACGTCGTTCAACTCAAAGAAGCGTGGACGCGTTTTCATTTATTTCACGTTTTTATTAGTCAGCAATAATAAAGAGAAACGACGCCGTTTCTCTCTGGACCACCAACTTTGCATGAAAGAGGCATGGCCGGGTTCTGCTGCCTCTACCTACTTTTGGCAGTATAAAAGACAAGGAGAGGCCTGCCATTTTGCTTGTCCGTTTCTTGGTAATCTTTAGGTTAAAGTAGTGTAGTTTTCTCGTAGATAAATCCCTCACCTAACTCTACAACACCGCCGTCAGCTCACCTTATCTTTCACTCTTCATATTCGCAGGTATATTCAAGTTTCAAGCTTCCGTCGGATCAGAGATCATAACAATTGGTATCTAGAGCCACCGTTTCTGGTGAAACTCTAGGAATGATGACAAGAAGCCACGTCAGGACAGGGTCCGGAGATAACACCAGATCTGATGCTGAAGTCTATCTGGATGAGCAGCTAGCTTTCAACAAAAAGATTCAGGTGGAAATAGGAGAGATGCAGGCGAACCTACACACAGAAATGGCTAGGAACAGGGCGGAGACTAATCAGAAAATCGAAGACTTGAGCAAGCTAGTGGGGGAATTAGTGAAAGCAGTCAATGGAAACAACGGGAAGGCCCCAATGGCTCAAGGAAACTCATCGGAGAACCCTTTTAGGTTTCCAGAAGTCACACAGCCACAGATGCGTGTGGAGGTGGGAAATCTCAACAGTCCTGGTAGAGGAGGTGAGAATAGATCAAGCAGAGTGGAGTTTCCCAAGTTTGATGGGGAATTTCCAAGGACTTGGCTGAGAAGATGCCATAGGTATTTCACACTAAACCCTATGAGTGAACAAGAGAAGGTTCACTTTGCATCAATGCATTTAGAAGGAAAGGTGGAGGATTGGTACACTGATTATATTGAGCAAATGGAAGGATTAGGGTGGGAAAATTTCTCCAGCATGATATTAGACAGATTCTTGGAGGAAGAATGAGTAAGTTTAACAGCTGAATTCAACAGGTTGAGGCAATAGACCACTGTGGAAGATTATAGGCTGAAATTTGAGCATCTTAAGGCGTTTGTGAGTCAGAAACACAGGCTTCTTACAGACAACTATTACTTAGAATGCTTTGTGGAAGGACTCAAAGACAATATCAGAAACATGGTGAAAATGATGAGACCTATGACACTCTCTCAAGCCATTCAGCAAGCTAAGTTACAAGAGGGAAATGCTGTACAGATCACTGAGGAGATCAAGAGCACTGTGAAGACTGCCACTACCCACTTGAGAACTTTCAAACCTACTGTACAAGTCCCTAGGATTCATCAACCAGAGAGAGGGGGAATGACCAGCAAGAAGCTGACTAGACCAGAGCTGGAAGAGAGGAGAAATAAGGGGTTGTGTTATAACTGTGAGGAGAAGTATACACCTGGACATAGATGCGAAATGATGTTTTATATTGAATGTATACCTACACCTGAAGAAGAAGATGTAGTGGAAGACATAGAAGGAGTGGAGGAACTAGTAGGAGAGGAATGTATGCAGATCTCCTTCAATGCCATAGCTGGACAAGTCACTCAAACTACCCTCAAGGTCCTTGGGAGATACAGAAATCAACCCATCACTATACTATTAGACACTGGGGCTTCACATAGTTTCCTAGATCCTCAAACTGCAGTAAGGTTGAAGTGTGAGAGGGTGTACAAAAGGAAAACTAAGGTAACTGTAGCTGGCAAGATGCAGTTGGAATGTGATTCATTTTGCCCAATGTTTCAGTGGACAATGGGGGGATGCCAATTTCAGGTTGATGTAACCCTCTTAGAGCTAGGAGGGTGTGATTTGGTGCTAGGAGTTGATTTCATGAAGAAATTTGCACCTCTATCTTTTGATCACAATGTGCAGTCCATTACACTCAATTATGAAGGCACAGAAGTGGTGCTGCAAGCTGATGAAGGAATCCCTGAGTTCCAACTCATTGATGGAGAAGCACTTCACAATATGTTGAGCAATAAAGAAGTGAACATGGGGTGTTTTGTGGTGATGAACAGTACATTGGAGAAGGAAGCAAGAGAGGAAGTGCCACAAGAAATACAAAGAATCATAGAGGAGTTTCCTGAAGTGTTCAAGAAAACCAATGAACTTCCACCAGTGAGGCAGGCTGAGCACTCCATTCCCTTAAAAGAAGATGCTGCACCATTTAAATCACAGCCCTACAGATACCCATTTATGCAGAGGAAGGAAGTAGAAGCCATGGTACAAGAGATGCTCTCCACTGGAGTCATTCAGTCCAGCAACAGCCCCTTTGCATCACCTGTGTTGTTGGTCAAGAAGAAGGATGGCTCATGGAGGTTTTGTGTAGATTACAGAAAATTTAACTCCATGACCATCAAAGATAGCTACCCAATCCCTTTGATTGATGATCTATTAGATGAGCTAGGGGGAGCCAAGCTATTTTCCAAGGTGGATCTGAGAGCTGGCTACCATCAAATCAGGATGAGCCAAAAGGATATTGAGAAGACTGCCTTTGTGACCTCGTCTGGTCATTATGAGTTCCTTGTAATGCCATTTGGTTTGTCTAATGCACCAGCTACATTTCAAGCATTTATGAATGATGTATTCAGGGAACATCTCAGAGAGTTTGTGCTGGTCTTCTTTGATGACATATTGATATACAGCCCAGACTTGGTGACTCACCAAAACCATGTAAAGAGAGTTTTAGAACTCCTCAAGGAGCATCAGTTATATGCCAAAATGACCAAGTGCAGTTTTGGGCAGAAGCAAGTGGAGTATTTAGGGCATGTAATAAATGAAGAAGGAGTGGGGGTTGATCCCAGTAAGATTGAGACTGTGAGAGATTGGCCTCCTCCAAAAAGTGTCAAAGCACTGAGAGGGTTCTTGGGATTGACAGGCTATTACAGGAAGTTTGTAAGAAGCTATGGAGAGATAGCCAAGCCCTTAACACAACAACTCAAAAAGGGTCAATTCCACTGGAATGAGGAAGCTCAGACAGCCTTTGAAAGGCTCAAGGAAGCTATGACCACCACACCTGTGTTACAGTTACCAGACTTCAAGGAAAAAATTGTGGTGGAAACAGATGCTTCCTACTATGGAATTGGAGCTGTGCTCATGCAAAAGGGCCACCCTCTAGCCTACTTAAGCAAGGCACTAGGGGTTAAAAGCTTGGGGCTCTCCATCTATGAGAAGGAGTTTCTAGCCATATTATTAGCAGTTCAGAAATGGAGAGCATACCTCATCAGTGGCACTTTTGTAATTAGAACTGACCAGAAAAGCTTGAGACATTTGCTAGAGCAGAAGCTTTCCACACCTTTACAACACAAGTACCTAGCCAAACTGCTAGGGTACAATTACACTATAGAATACAAGAAAGGGACTGAGAATAGTGCAGCAGATGCATTGTCAAGAAGAGAGAGCAACTCAGAGTTGAGCCAGATAACAGTAGTTCAACCACTGTGGATCCAAGAAGTGATACAAAGCTATGAGGGAGATGAGGAATCACAGGCAATCATTGCTCAGTGTACTCTGAGCCCACTGGATGTATCATACTACCACTATACTGATGGCATCATCAAATACAAATGGAGGATCTTTGTAGGGGGACAGACTGAAGTGAGGAAGAACTTATTGGAGCAGATGCATGGGTCCAGTGTGGGGGGGCACTCTGGGATCCAGAATACATATCAGAGGGTCCAAGGGGTATTTCTATGGCCTGGACTTAGGAATCAAGTCAAAGAGTGGGTCAAGAATTGTCAAATCTGCCAGTTGAGCAAGCATGAGAATGTCAAAACCCCAGGTCTTTTACAACCTCTACCTATACCAGAGGGAGCTTGGACTTGTATTACTATGGATTTCATTGTTAAGCTTCCTAAATCTCATGGGAAGGAGACCATATGGGTAGTGGTGGACAGGTTCACAAAGTATGGGCATTTCATAGCACTTTCTCAGCCAATGACAGCCTCCACTTTAGCTCAAGTTTTCATAGAAGAGGTTTACAAATTGCATGGGTTGCCCAACTACATTGTTTCAGATAGGGACCCTATCTTCACAAGCCAATTTTGGAAGGAATTAATGCAAACTCTGGGGATCCAGCAACAGTTGAGCACAACTTTTCACCCACAAACAGACGGCCAAACTGAGAGAGTTAACCAATGTTTAGAGTCATACTTGAGGTGCATGTGTGGACAGCTCCCCAAAAAGTGGAGTTCTTGGGTGCCCTTAGCTGAATGGTGGTACAACACCACCTACCATTCAGCCATTCAAATGACACCCTTTGAAGCACTCTATGGCTATAAGGCTCCACAGCTGGGATATGGACCCCACCTTTTACAGAAAACAGAAGGAGTAAGAGCATGGCTAGAGCAACACCAAGTGATCACTCAACAATTGAAGAGGCTGCTAAGGGAAGCTCAAGACAGGATGAGAACTTATGCAGATCAAAACAGAAGTGAGAGGACCTTTGAGGAAGGGGACTTAGTTTATCTTAAGCTAAAACCATACAAGCAAAGAAGTCTGAGGAAAAGCCACCTTTGGAAGCTAACTCCTAAGTACTGTGGGCCTTTTCCAGTAGTGAAGAGAGTAGGATCTGTGGCTTATGAACTTCAGCTACCTTCAGACTCTAGAGTTCATCCAGTGTTCCATGTCTCCCAGCTAAAGAAACATGTAGGAACTCATGCAAGAGTGGCTGCAAATCTTCCTCCGCTAGATGAGCAAACCCAATTTCTCTTGATACCCGAGGGGGTTTTGGATCGGAAGATGATCAAGAAAAACAATACGACTGTGGTTCAATGGCTAGTCAAGTGGGCTCATTTACCTACAGAGGAAGCCACTTGGGAGAATGCCGACGAAATGGGGAAGAAATTTCCCACGTTTCAGCCATGAGTCATGGCTGCTTGAAGGGAGGGGAAGTGTAACGGAATAAACGGTAATTCAAATTACCTAAGGAATAAACGACGTCGTTCAACTCAAAGAAGCGTGGACGCGTTTTTATTTATTTCACGTTTTTATTAGTCAGCAATAATAAAGAGAAACGACGCCGTTTCTCTCTGGACCACCAACTTTATGAAAGAGGCATGGCCGGGTTCTGCTGCCTCTACCTACTTTTGGCAGTATAAAAGACAAGGAGAGGCCTGCCATTTTGCTTGTCCGTTTCTTGGTAATCTTTAGGTTAAAGTAGTGTAGTTTTCTCGTAGATAAATCCCTCACCTAACTCTACAACACCGCCGTCAGCTCACCTTATCTTTCACTCTTCATATTCGCAGGTATATTCAAGTTTCAAGCTTCCGTCGGATCAGAGATCATAACAATTCTCTTCTTGCACAAGGCACATGCATCAAGAAAATCTTCCCGGCCGGTTATAATTTCCCGGCGAGGAGGCGAATTGAACGTAAATATACTCTTCCTCTGCTTCTCAACCGCCGCCGGAATATTCTGTACGGGTTTGATCACGGCGTGGGCTGGCCGCGTGGGTGGTTGCTTGTTCTCTTGTGCGGCGGCCGCAACAGCTGGTTTATTCTGCAAGGGTTTCACGGCGGCGCAGGCTGGCCGCGCGGCGGCGGCGAAAAAGTAATTCGAGTAGATTTATCATTTATGGAAGGGGCGAAAAAGTAATTAGCATTGAAATATATCTTAGAAATTGCAATTTGGTGGAATTACCCATCTTGCCCAGTTGCCCCTCTACAAGAATTCAAATAGAATCGGGGCGGGTTATAAATGGGTTAGATCAGATCCGAAAGCCCAAAAGTTTTAGAGACTATTTATAATTTTTCATTTGCTTTGAATTTGGCCCAACAGCCCAAAAGGCCCCTACAAATTAATATGGTGCAAATTACGATCTACCCCTTAGGTAATCAAATTACAAAAATCTCCTTTTATGTTTGGGTAATTACAATTATCACATCAATTATGTATTGTCTTACCCTTTCACCCTTACGGTGCCGAATTTACCTAATAAAATATATAGTTTGGATGGTAGTAGTTACCCAAACAAGAAGGACTTTTTTTTTTCTTCGTATAAACAATTTTTAATAAAAAAAAAAATTAATATTATGTAAAAATTATAAAAAAAAAATAAAAAAAATATAAGATAAGCTGAGCTTAAGCTCGACAGGTTCGGTTCGACTTGAGCTCGAACTTGAATTCGAGCTCATCAAATGAAGATCGATGAGCCTTGAGCACGTATGTGCTTGGCTCGAACTCGACTCGATCATTTACACTCTTAATTTAGTGCACGTTACTTTAAGAGAAGTAGAAGCAAAAGCTAGTAGTGCAAACACTTGAAAAGTGATTCTTAACTAAAAAAAGCTCGAAATCACTTATCAAAAGCTTTTACAAACGCCACTTATTAGGTGGTGTTTGCAAAAACTTATTTAAAAACATAAGTTAGTGATTGTGAGTTAAGTTGATATTAAGTGTCTATTCTAAAAGTTGGAAGTGTTTGCAAAAAATCTGGAAAATAAATTTAAGTAGAGAAAAACAAGTACATGAATGCTTTTAAAATTATAGCTCAAAGCAGCTTATAAATTAACTAGCCTCATAAATTATGGCTGCCTACTTTTCATGGTTATCTGTTTCTGCAAATATGGCTTCTCTATTACATTGTCGAGACTCTACAGTGACAGAATAATCAAATTCGGTTTGAGGACAAACATATTATGCAGAGAATAAAAACAAAAAAAATTATATTTTTAAATAGGGTAAATTACAAACACCCCTGAGGTATGGTCAAATTACAAAAACCCCCCTCTTGTTTGGATAATTACATCTACCCCCTCAACTATGATTTTTTCTTAGACCTCCTCCTTTATGGTGCCAAATTCAACATAGTCATCTAGATTCCGTGAAATGTGCTCTAATTTGTACTCGTTTTGTGTAGAAAATACAGTTTCCGATGCACCACAAACTGATATATACAAGCTAAAAATCACATATTATGATCATCTTGCTTCATAATGTAGAGTTTGAATGGGATAAAACGGGTACAAAAGTGATAATATTCCATATAATCTTGAAGATTCCACTAAATTTGAGGAGTTGAGGGGTGGATGTAATTATCCAAACAAGAGGGGTGTTTTTGTAATTCGACCATACCTCAGGGGGGTGTTTGTAATTTACCCTTTTAAATATTATAACGATAAAAAATTTAAATATGTATATATATATATATATATATATATATATATATAAATATATATGTACTGCATGCAAATTGATACGTGTTTGTATTAAGCAGGACGTGCCCAAACATGGCACATGCATGCAGGCTATGGTCGCCGCGTTTTCCGACGTGTACAAGTTTCCACAAATAATATAGCATGGCCGCTATTGATAAGTTTGACAAGGATTAATACTAATTTTTATACTAACATAATGACAATTTTGACCCTCTGTTCGGTTGGAAAAATTAGCAATTAAATGAGACCTAATTATTTTGCATGGACAATGTTTTAAATACAATAATCACAACTTCTTATACTAAGCCATGCATGCAGTTCATCAATATAATATTATTAATTATTACCACCTATAAATAACCATTTCTACCACCTTCAATCTTCCTCAGAGAACACTAACCAAACCAACAATGGCGATCAAATTCAATACCAAAGTACTCTCTCTCCTCCTTGTATTAATTGTAACTTTCTCTCTCCTCCTTGTTCAATCACAGTGCCACACAAAGTATCAAGAAGAACAAGAAGAGGAAGAGGAGAAAACTGCAGAGGAATCACTGTTCGAATGCTTCGTCACGTGCAGCAGACACCGGCAGAACGACCATGAACTTACCGACTGCGAGCAGAGGTGCGTCAAACAGTATCAGGAGACTAAGAAACAGGAGGGCCAAGAGGGCAGCCGCCGCCACGGCGGCGGCGGCGGCGAAGGTATACCGTTTGTTTTGAACCCTTTATTATATTATTGCATGAAATTGAACTCTAGTTTTGAGTTTTTATCCTATATATATATGGAAGACTATTTTATTTCAATATTTGAATTGTTAATGATCTAAATTATTTTATATAATAGTTTTTTTTTTTTTAATAAATGGCCGTTGGATTCGAATACAAGATTAAATATCATGGCTCTAATTAATTTGAATGGAACTATTGAATTTTATCGATCTGGATTCGAAAATTTTGATACGTGAACAATATTTTTCATTCTGAATTTTTGACATTTTTAAATGTTTTTGGTACAAAATTAGTATATTTTGTTCTAATTTTTTATTTGATTTTAATTTTTAAAAACTTCATTTTTTATTTCGTTTATAATATCATTATTATTATATATTTCTATATCATGGATGATTTAGAAAGGAGAAATTTCCAAATCTTTCGATTCGAAAATTTCTGATTTTGAAATCCTATTTTTTAGTCTAATTTTCAAATTTTGACTTTTTTGAAACAAAAAATTAGAGTAAAATTGGAATTAGTTTTTACTTAAAAAATCAAAACAAATTTTTTTTTTTTTTGAAATTGTTATTTTCGATTAAATTTGATTTTTATCTATAGTTCTTATATTTGAATTTCATTTTTATAATTCAAATAGGCACCGTAGAAAACCACCACCGCGAAGATGAACCGGCGGCGCAGCGATTCAAACAGTGCCAAAGCCGATGCGGGAAACAAGAACAAGGACAGCAACGCCAGTACTGCCAACAAAAATGCCAGTGGGAGTACGAGAAACAGAAGAGAGAAGAAGAACAACAACACGGCGGCGGCCGCGGCGGCGGAGATCCGACGAACGCCAAAAAGGAATCGAAAGAAGAAGAGAAACAACAGAGGCAAAACCCCTACTTCTTCGATTCGCAGAGATTCGATTCCAAATACAGAACCGAACAAGGGCACATCAAAATACTCGAACGATTCTCGAAGAATTCCGATCTCCTCCAAGGAATCGAGAATTATCGATTAGCAATTCTCGAAGCGAATCCCAACACCTTCGTCCTCCCTCATCACTGCGACGCCGAATCAGTCTTCCTCGTCGTTGGGGGTAAATCAATTTCTCAATTCAAATTGATTCAATTTACATATATCGATCAGAAAATTAGGGTTTGTAAATTGGGCGATGACGTGGCGCAGGAAGAGGAACAATTAGCTACGTATGGGAAAAGCAGAGGAAATCGTATAATCTGAAGAGTGGAGGTGTGCTGTGGGTCCCAGCTGGATCGATTGTCTACTTGACGAACAACGACGACAACGAAAGGTTGTATATTTTGAAGCTTTTGCAGCCTGTCAATACTCCCGGCAAATTTAAGGTAAATTGAATCTCTCTGTTTATAGATAATTAATTAGTTAATTAATCATGTTTAATTAATTAATTACATGTGTGTATAATAATCTGCAGGAGTATTTTGGTGTTGGTGGAGAAAATCCAGAGTCTTTCTACAGTTCTTTCAGCAACGAGATACTCGAAGCTGCCTTCAATGTAAGAACACACATATATGTATATGTATGCATATATGTATGTATCTTTATTTCTTACATTAGGGTTTAGGGTTTGGACTGATTAATGGCTTAAAAATTTGATCTTTTGTTGTCGTTGTATTTAGACGCAAAGTGAGAAGTTGCAGAGGCTTTTTGGGCAGCAGAGCAAAGGGGTGATAATAAAGGCATCCAAAGAGCAAATAAGAGCTTTGAGCCAAGAATCGGAATCTTCTCCAAGGGGAAGGAGAGAGAAGGAGTCGTCTTCGTGGGGCCCGATCGATCTGTTAAACGAACGGCCCGTTTTCTCGAACGAATTCGGACAGTATTTCGAAGCCTCTCCTAATCATTACCAGCAGCTCAGAGACTTGGATGTCTCGGTTTTACTCGTGAACATCACAAAAGTAAGAATATATGTCGTATATTGTTTTTAAGTGATGATCAACTAATATACGTTCTTGTTCGATTTTTTCGAAAAAAGGGTGCAATGGTGGCTCCATACTACAATTCGAAGTCTACGAGGCTGGTGTTTGTTGTGGGAGGGAGTGGGTATTTCGAAATGGCTTGCCCACATCTTGCAAATGCTAAAGGCAAACACGGCTCTCAAGGGAGGAAAGAGAGACAAGGAGAAATAATAACCGACGTGCACTATCAGAAAGTTAGTGCCCGTTTATCGGTCGGGGACGCCTTTGTGGTCCCCGCCGGCCATCCTATAGCCATTGTAGCTTCGCAAGATTCGAATTTGCAGCTGGCTGGTTTCGGAATTAAGGCCTCGCATAATCAGAAGTACTTCTTGGCTGGTAAAATTTCGTTCGACTTTCTATGTATCCTATTATAGATAACGTTCGATGTTGATCGAGTGGTTGATGTGTGTTTTCTTTATAGGGCAAGAGAATATATGGAACGAGGTGCAATCGGAGGCGAAGGAGCTGGCTTTTAGGGTTCCGGCGAGAGAGGTGGAGGAGATATTTAGAAGCCAAGAGCAGTCGTATTTTATGCCCGGGCCTGGACAGAAGGGGAAAGGGCAGCGTCATGTGGCTTCGATTCTCGATTTTGTCGGCTTTTGATGTGACGAAGAGAAAAGGGTTTTTGTGGTATGTTTATATGAGAGGAATGAAGTTTGTTTTGTGTAAGTAAATAAAGGAGAGGTGGCAAGAGTTGTACCTTTAGTAACTTAACTGTATGTGTAATAAGAGAAGGGAAGTTGAAACTTGTTGTAATAGATGTGTTCTTCCTATGTGTATAAATCCTTTCTCTATGAATGAAATAATGCTTCACCACCTTTTGTTTTTTTGAGACAATTAGTCATATTTCTATGACTAAATGTGATAAATGTCGTTTCAGTTTTAATAATACTTTTCGAATTCAAATGCGATTTTGACCGTTCTAGAGTTTGAAAAACTGAAAATATGGAATTCGTAGTTGTTTGAGTTAGCTTTCTAATCAAATTGAAATTATCAAGATTAGAAGTCGGGTGAGACATGTATGCATGAATCAATGAATACTGTCAACAACTTAGATGTTTTCAGTTATCTAAAATTCAAAAACTCATTCAAGTATAATTTTGACATCTGACATTTGATCTAAGCTGGTTCGAAGTTGAATTAGAAAGCTAACTCAAACTACAATCCCCATGTTTCGAGTTCTGCCACAATAGAACTCGAAAATAGTCAAAATCACGTTCGAAGTCCAAATAGTACGTATTAGAAAAATTGAAACGACATTTAACATTTCGGTTTTTACTTCCTTTATGCAATACAAGGTTAATACCTATATTATTGAAAATAGCTGTTAAACATTAATATTATATACTAGTTATAAACAAAAGAATATTGTAACATTTTAAATGCGCTAGTGGATAGAAATTGATATTTAAATGATTAATAACGATATATTTCCTTATATATTGCATGGACAGCTTATGGCCAATGGTTTTGTTCTAATTCATGACAAATAATGCACTTACCATGCACGAAAATTTGCCATTTCAAATAGACTCTCTCTCTCTCTCTCTCTCTCTCTCTCTCTCTCTCTCTCTCTCTCTCTCTCTCTCTCTCTAATGCACTTACCATGGACGAAAAAATGCTATTTGAAATAAATTCTCTCTCTCTATCTTACACACACACACACACACACACACTAGTACTATAAAACCCAACCCACCATCATTTCATTTCTAAGCAATATAACAAAAACACACTTATTGTATAATTAGCACAATGGAAGCCAAATATGCCGTTTTCCTAATCTCCGCACTCTTTTTACTTGCATCAGGTAATACATACATACATACATTGATAAATATATAAAAACTATTTTATTTAATTTTTTGGTTAATTATTACAACAGCAAAGGGATCTTTCGAAGGGGATTGCCGAACGTCGTTTAAGAACGTAGGATGCCCGAATGAGTCGGCGTGTTTCTACAAGTGCAGAGTGTGCAGCCAAGGACATGGAGAAATATATTCTCGTTGCCGTAGAGCCGACAACCTTTGTATTTGTACTTTCTCCAAGGGGGCACCTTGTCCCCCTTTCCCCGGCTGCCCCCTTGTTCCACCTAGCTAGCCCTTCATTTTCTTTTTTCTTTTCTTTTTTTGGAGGGCTCAAAATACACTTGTGTGTATATTGGGGCTCCAATAAATTAAATGAGGAGTTGGATTTGAATAAATAAATTATATTTGTGTTTTTTTTCTTCTGATTCATGGACTAATGAAAAGGCTCTTATGATTTATGACATGAGATTGAATGGTGTTAGATTAAGGTTGGAAATCGAACGAATCAGATCTGAATTGACATTTTTGGAAGAAAAAAATAGACGGTATATTGTTTAAGTGAAAAACTAATTCACGTTTTGTTAAATAATTGGAATTTAGGAATGGGAATTAAAAACCTGTTATAAAATTGAATTTTTTGGATCCGAATCGTCGAAATTCTGAAAATTCCAATGTTTTAGTCACCTAAATATAAACTACATAAAAATATTTATATTATAAGTGTACTGTAATTTTCAGAATAAAATTAGAATTTTTATATTATTTCTCGAAAATTGTTCTGAAATTGGAATCTCATATTTATTTGAGTCTCCTCCAAAAAAAAATATTAATTTGAAAAAATCGGAAATCGAAAATTTCAGGATCGGAAATATTGTTCCAAGTTGAAAAATTTCAGACTGAATTAGGTGGAAATTGGAAATTCGGTTGCAATTCCACCGGGTGTAAGATTGATTGGAGTTGCTCGATGAATATATGAATATTTTGTTAGCTTAATTGGTGAGCTCGATAAAAGAAAAAATAAATTATATGGCAAATTACAACCACCCCTGAGGTATAGTTAAATTATGAAAACCCCCCTCTTATTTGGATAATTACATCTACCCCTCAACTATTAATCTTCTTACACCTCCATCCTTATGGTGTCAAATTCAACATAATCATCTAGATTCCGTGGAATGTGCTCTAGTTTGTACTCGTTTTGTGTAAAAAATTAGTTTTTGATGCACCACAATCTGATATATACAAACCAAAAAACACATCTTATGATCATCTTGCTTCAAAATATAGAGCTCGAATAGGATAAAACGGGTACAAAAGTGATAATATTCCATATAATCAAGAAGATTCCACTAAATTTGAAGCCGCAAGGGTGGACGTGTAAGAAAATTTATAATTGAGGGGGTTTTGTAATTACCCAAACATGAGGGGGGTTTTCGTAATTTTATCGTACCTCAGGGGTGGTTGTAATTTACCCTAAATAATAATGCCCTTGGGCCTTGGTAGTAAATGCATAGTTTAAAACGGTGTCGTATATGGGCCTTGATTTGGATTGCACAAACTTTGGAATTGGACTAGATTCTTTTTGTGGACAACTAATCTATCGTGGGCTTGGGTTTTAATTAGACCATATCACTAAAAGTAAACGAGGCTTATTAAATTCATAAGATAATCATTTACAAGATTTCAAATAAGCCCCTATAAAATATATAAATTAGCAACTCATAAGTATACATGTGACTAATTTGTGAAGACTTCATAAATAATGATTCAAATTAGGAAAAAATACAGTTTTCATCCCTCAAATTTGCACAGATTTCACATTTGGTCTTTCAAATTTACAAAAAGGACATTTGGTCCCTTATGTTTCAAAAATTCAACGCTTTTAGTAATTTCCATCAATTTCCCGTCAAAATTAATGGAATCAAGCGTGTGCCCGGGGGCTTAACTAACGGACTGACGGTAAATTGACGAAATTGAGGGACCAAATGTGTTTTTTGTGAACATGGGGGACCAAATGTGAAATCAGTGCAAATTTGAGGTGTAAAAACTGTAATTTCCCCATTCAAATTAGCACTTTCTCCTTTTTGATTATCAAAACGCGACATATGCTTTAGACTAAAACACGCTTTTAGCCGTCTTGTTCCCCAAGACGCCCTTTCTCGAGTCAAAGAAAAAAGGCATAAAAACCAAATACAAAAACCCCCAAAAGCTGAGAAGGAAGAAATCAGCAACCTAGGGCAAATTCAATTTTACAGATCTGAAAAAACACAAAACCTAGAAGATTTTCCGGCTGTGCTAACAGAGGTAGAAAATGGAGTCAGTGTTCGGAATGGTGGGTAAAGATTTCGCCATAGTAGCTGCCGATACATCGGCGGTTCACAGCATCCTCGTACACAAGACCAACGAGGACAAGATCATGATCCTCGATTCTCACAAACTCATGGGCGCCTCCGGCGAGACCGGCGACCGGTAAAAACCCCCAATTTCTCAATTTCTTACTAATTCCCATTGATTGATGCCTTTAATTTTTTATTACATTTTTTAGGGAGAATTTTTTTTTGGAATCGTCTGCGATTTTTAGCTAGGATAATTGTTTCGATGAGGTTTATTGGGCCGTTTTCTGGGGTTAGTTTGTATGATCCGCGCGCGTGGTTGTGTATTTCAGTCTAGTGATTTTTAGGGTTTAAAACTTTTGATTCAGTATGCAAGTGTAGGTATTTCTAGAAACATGCGCAGTTTAATTAGCTTAATATATGTATTATCTATCCAAACAGTAAATTGTAATTGAGAGCAAACTATGAAAGAAAGCTTCACTCTTGCTTTCTCGAGAGCAAACTAAAACAAAACTATAAACGAGATGGAAACAACGTAAATCGACCATTAAACTTTCATCGGTAGTCGGTTGAAGAACAAAGGGACTAAGGTTGTTGCTCTAAGCCTCAGTTCAGTAATTAGGTCAGTTTAAACTTTCTTGTACTAATAATCAGCTGATCGCGACACAGTAGTGTAAAATTTTGTAGTGATGCTATTGTGTTCAGTCTAATGCAATTTGATTTCTAACTGATTTATAGAATTCGTTCACTAAATACCGTAATTTGATTGGTTCCTAATGTAATGTTTCTGTTCTAGATAAGATTTCTTACATTGTTAAATGTGTTTCTGATTTACTTATCGACTAATCTTTCTATGGCTGAAGTTAGTGTTTTAACCGTTTTATGTAATGATGTCTTAGGGCTCAGTTTACAGAGTACGTACAGAAGAATGTATCCTTGTACCAATTTCGTAACGGCATCCCATTGACTACTGCAGCTACTGCTAACTTCACCAGAGGCGAGCTTGCCACCGCCTTGAGGAAGGTAATAAAGCTCTTTACGAATTTCTCTTATCACTCTTTACTGCTATTTTTTTGACCATTTGATTTTGCTCGATTAAGTTTCTTTATCATCCAAATGAACGAAGGATTACTTGATTAGTTATCTTGTGATTTTGATAGAAAAAACCTCACAAGTACGAATCATAGTTGTTTTGTCTGTAAAAGTTTTGCGAAAATGTGCTTGATCTGTGAAATGGTCTTTCAAGAGATTCTCTGAAACACCTACCGAGGCGTATTTTAAATTGTGGCATAAAATTAGTTATTGTGTTTCTTCCTTGTGTCTGTAATCAATCGAGGTATATTGGCCGAGTAGCCGTTTTCTATTATTTCTTAGTTTTGTTTAGAATCTTTACCGTAAAACTTACTTTAGCTTGGTGGATATTTATATTGAAGTATTATTATCATCTGCAACTATTTTATGAAGCATGTTGCTTTTTCAATGTAAGGAGAATAGAAACCAGAACGAGGGTGCTCATACATTTTACGAAAGAATCAAGATAAATTTGATTCGTCCTTTAACTTTTCTTTTTTTTTTTTCCTTTCAAGAATCCATACATGGTGAACATCATTCTTGCTGGATACGACAAGGAAACAGGCCCTTCGATGTACTTCATCGATTACATTGCTTCTCTTCACAAGCTCGATAAAGCAGCGTTTGGCTATGGAGCCTACTTTGCCCTAGCCATGATGGATAGGCACTACCGTAGGGATATGACTGTCGAAGAAGCCATTGAGTTGGTCGATAAATGCATCGTCGAAATACGGAGTAGGTTGGTAGTGGCCCCTCCGAATTTCCTAATCAAAATTGTTGACAAGGATGGGGCGAGGGAGTATGCTTGGCGTCAGTCTATCAAAGATGCCCCCGTTTCTGCAGCCTGATTTTCTCGTTTTCTTTTTCTTCGTTATTATGAAACCTTAAAACATTGCTGCTCGGAAAAATTGCTTTGTTTTTAATTTGTAATATGTCGGAATTCTTGTCGCTTGAGATGAAATTTATGTGCACTTAGTATTGACAATCGAGGTGATATTTCTTCTTGCATTATTAGAGCAGCTTTATTCATATTTTGCTTTGCAGAATGGTCCTATTTTGTTTTTTTGTTCTAAAATTACTTTTATAATGTGGTTTTTGTTTTGTATATATCGGATTGTGGTGCATCAGAAACTGTATTTCTACTAAATGAGTACAAACTAGAGCACATTTCATGGAGTTTAGATAATTATGTTGAATTTGATAACATAATGGTGGAGGTGTAAGAAAAAAATTCATAATTTATGGTGATTGTAATTATTCAAACAGTAAGGGGAAAGGGGATGTTCGTTAATTTGACCATACATAGGGGTGCTTGTAATTTACCCCTTTTATAATTGATGTAAGCAATGAAGATTGTTGATTGTTTCTCTTTCTTAACCGAGACCCTATTTATTGTTTTATATTTAATTTATTAATATATTTTTTGAATTTTTTTTTGTTTTTTTGTTACAAATTGGAGAGGGAAAAGATTTTTTAAGACCTCTATCCTAATAGTAAATGCTTTTTACCAACTCCCTTAGTATGGGTTGGTTTATTTATTAACACATGTCATACATATGTCATTTTAAAATTTATATAAAAACTAATTATTATTGATTTATTCATAACTTATTTACCATTAATTTTGTTACTTTCATAGCAAATTATATTTACAAATCCGCTAACAAAATCTTAATCCATTCGAATAGCTTTTTTTCCTTTTAAAAATTTCAACCCTTTTTTTTGATGTAATTTTAGTGAATTTAAATTTCATAACTAATTACTTTGTTTTGTGATTATTTTTTACTAATACAGTTTAATTATCATGTATTTAATTTTTTTCTTTTTTTGCAATGCTATTTCGTGTGATTGACTAAAGCTGACATGAAAATAATGAAACAATAAATAAATAAATACAACCTTAAATAATAAAAAGAGGATATACAAATACTGGTTGCTGGGCCCACCGCAGGCAGCAGCTATTCATTGTCGTTTCAAAACGAATTACATTTGGCAATTGGCATTCACTCCGCAGTGAGTGTGTGTGTGACTGTGTGTGCTTTCTTCCTTCTTTGCCTCTCTCTCTCTCTCTCTCTCTCTCTCTCTCTCTCTCTCTCTCTCTCTCTCTCTCTTTCTGAAGAACCCTTGTTTTTCTCGTCTACCCCTCTTTTCTTCTTTTTCTTTGTCTTCGCTTTTCATTTCCGTTGTTTTCCAAGTTCAATTTGAGGGTACGAATTTTATTTTCTGTGAAGATTTACACTTGTTTTTTTTCATGTTTATTGTTGATTAATCCTGATTTTTCCCTCAATTCATTTGTTTCTTCAAATGCACTTTTGATTTTCGCATGATTTAAGACGAAACACTTGCGTGTATATCTATATATATATATGTGTGTGTGTGTGTGTAACCCTACATTTGCGGTGATGATCTTGTTATTGCATCTTTATTTTTTTGGGATTTTTGTCTTCCACAAATTTCCATTGAATGTATCTGATTGTTAAGGCTATATTTGGTTGCATTTTTTGGGAGTAGAATAAATGTGTTTTTTTTCTTTTTTCGAAGATTTCGAAAATGGGAGTAATGTTTTGTTTATGTGTTGTAAGCAATCGAGTCATGTTTGCTAAGTAGAGCGATAACGATTAACGATTAACGATAACGATAACGATATTTAGTGAGAAGAATTTGAAATTAAGTAGGGGGATAAATTTTTTACCATACTAGTCGAGTCAATAAATGTTGGAAGATTTTGTGTTTACTTTTGGCAGAAATAAAACCTAGAGAAATTTCAAAATGGCAAAACGAACACCGATTTATCTTTTATCGCGCTAATCTTTCACATTATCATCTCGCAGAGCTCCCAACATTCCATCTGCATTCTTCGACTCAATGAGCTCCGTTCACAACAAATCGGACGATGAATACTCAGTCATCGGAGACAAAGGTGACATCGGATTCATCGATTACGACAACTGCAAATCGATCTGCAGCTACAATCCATCCGAGGAGAGCCAATTCGTAAATATCTCCGTCCCGTTTCCTCTAGTCGGAGGCAAACCTCAATCAGGATTCGTGGGAGAAACTATATTCCACCCTGTCACTATCAAGAACACCACAAACGAGCCCTTAGATCTCTGGTCGGTCAGCATTTACGACTCCAAACCTGAGAACTCGTTCACCATTTCTCTCAAAGAGCCTCCGAAAGCCGATTCGGGCGTGGAATATATCCAAGCTTTTATGGAAACATTTTCGTTGGAAGACAGGGTGATAGGGCCAGAACAGTCGTTGACTGTATACCTATCGTGCAAGCCTAAGGAAATCGGGGTTCATTCGGCTGCTGTGCATTTCAGCGTGGGTGACGAGACAATCGAAAGGGTGGTTTTCCTTTTGGCCGAGGATAAGATTTCTCATTCTTTGTTTTCCGCAAAACCGTACCAAAGATCGCGCAGAAAGAAACAGGATGTGGTAAATGTGCATGCTGCAGATGCTGCGTACATTGTTGGGCATCGGCCCTCGAGGGGTTCGGGTAGCGGGTTCCGATATCGACTGTCGGATTATCCTGTTCCGGCAAATATTCGGGAAATGGTGCATAATCAGCAGATCCCCGATGCGGTCAACGAGGGTTTGACCGAGAGGAACTACGGGTTTTTTTTCAAGACTTTGCTTGCGATGGAAGAGATAAAGTTGGAGGTGTGTGCCGATTCATTATATATAGAAACCTTTTTTCACTTGTTTTATTTAGTATCGAGTTTTTGTATTTTTTTAGGAGGATATGCGAGCATATGACATGGAGTGTGTCTCGATGAAGAGCAAACGGAACCAGTTCTTGACTCTTGAGGTACCCGGATTGGCTGAGAAACGGCCTTCACTCGTTAACGGGGACCACATATTCGTGAAGCTTGCTAGTGAGGATCAAAATCCAAATCCTGCATATCAGGTTCGTCACAAAGTGCACTAATTCTATTTTAGTTTATTGAATTCCATTCTCTTGATGCGATCAGTAAATGCACTTGTTTGTAACTATTGCATGAGTTTGTAATTTATTATTGCGGTTCGTGTTTAATTGATGCATGCAAGTACGTAAAGTTACCCTTTTTTTTTCGCCTAGCTAATGCATGTTTCGTCACTCAAGCCACGTGTTATATTTAGGTCATAATTGGCAATGTTGATTTCATTCAAAATATTTGTGATGTTTCGAGCATTGAAAATTACGCTAGTTAATATAGAAACTGAATGACGTGTAAGAATAATTCGAGTATTTAAAGCTGTGTTAGTTAAAGTAGAAACTGGAAGTTACGAGCAATATCAACGGTAAAAAGAATGATACTGACGAAAATAACGATTTTTTTTGTCGATATGGAAGCTCAATAAATTATAAAGGACAGCATTTTGCTTTCTATTTATTTTTTTGTCGACTTCGTATTAAATTTACTTTTGTTGTTTTCATAGACGTAAAATCCGCTTCTTTTACAGGTGTCAAGAATCCCCATTCTCCACCACCTCCTAATTCACTTTGTGATATCATCATTTAATCTTCTTTATATAGAAAACTTTTATGCTTGTTTACTGATTTGTGTTCTTTACTTTCCAGGGATACATTCACAGGGTAGAAGCCGAAGAAATTTACTTGAAGTTCGACCAAGCATTCCACCGCATCCACAGAGATTGCAACCTCTACAACGTGCAGTTCAACTACAACCGAACAGGCATGCGACGCCTCTATCAAGCCGTAGAAGCAGCCGGATCTTTAGATCGCAACTTTCTCTTTCCATCCACATCGTTCAACGCAAGAACAGTAAAACCCAATCCGATGGTCCCGATTTCTCCTAACCTAAACGACGAACAAATGAGAGCCGTTCAGATGATCCTCGCCTCCCGAGGCGGGCCCCCCTATGTAATCCACGGGCCACCTGGCACAGGCAAGACCATGACTCTGATCGAAGCCATCCTCCAAATCTACCGTTCGAAACGAAACGCTCGTGTTCTCGTCTGCGCACCTTCAAACAGTGCAGCCGATCACATACTCGAAAGACTCGTAAGCCAAGAATTGGTGCAAATTCATAAAAATGAGATCTTTAGACTCAATGCGTACACGCGCTCGTTCGAGGACGTCAATCCGAACCTCATCGAATTCTGCTGCGTCGAAGATTTCATTTTTAAATGCCCTTCAAGATATGATCTCGTGAAGTACAAAATCATTATATCTACTTACACAAGTGCGTCTCTATTATACTCGGAAGGCGTTCGGAGGGGTCATTTCTCGTATTTTTTCTTGGACGAAGCTGGACAAGCTTCCGAGCCAGAAACACTGGTCCCACTATCCCATCTTTATAGGGAGGACACGGTTGCAGTTCTTGCGGGCGATCCTATGCAGCTAGGTCCCGTGGTATTCTCCGGGGATGCGGAGAGTTACGGACTAGGAATCTCCTTCATGGAGAGGCTCTTCGACTGCGAGCTGTACAGCAGCGGAAACGAGAGTTTCATGACCAAATTGGTCAGAAATTACCGGACCCACGAGGCAATTCTAAAGCTTCCTTCTGAACTCTTTTACTACGGTGAATTGATTCCATCAAAGGAAGAAGAGTCATGTTTGTACTCGACGACATCATCATGGGAGGATCTAATCCCGGATAAGGAGTTTCCTATGCTGTTTATAGGCATTCAAGGCTGCGACGAAAGAGAAGGGAGCAATCCATCTTGGTTCAATAGAATCGAGGCGAGTAAAGTGGTCGAAATAATCAGGGTTTTGATCGAGGAAAAGGGGATGAAAGAGGAAGATATTGGTGTTATTACGCCTTACAGGCAGCAGGTCTGCAAGATAAGAGGGGCACTGGAAATGCTCGGTATGGGTGATGCTAGGGTTGGAAGCGTCGAACAATTTCAGGGGCAAGAGAGAGAAGTTATTATTATATCAACTGTTCGTTCGACTGTGAAGCATAACGAATTCGACAGGCTTCATTACTTAGGGTTCTTGAGCAACTCGAGGAGGTTCAATGTTGCTATTACTCGAGCGAGGTCTTTGCTCGTGGTTATTGGGAATCCACACATCCTATGCAAGGTAACATTTTTTTTCTTTCTTTAATATTCTAATTATGATTAACAAATTTGTTATTGTATGCTAATGTTTTTTTTCGGTTATGTATGTGTGAATATGGTAGGATCCATATTGGAACAATCTGTTATGGTACTGTGTGGACAATGACTCGTATAAGGGTTGCTTTCTCCCCGAAAGAGAGGATCTCAGTGTTGAAGGGCCACCTGAGTACACAGAGGAACAATACCCGAGCGGTGAGGTGGCGAACGATTTCCAGCCGTCGGATGGGAATTGGGATGAGAAAGGTGATGAATGGCAGTCTGCTCAAGTTCAGTGGGGCCCGTCTGATGTTCCTTGGACCGGGGCAGAAAACGATGATGTACCATGGGAGTAAACACACCGATTTTTTTATTTTTTTATGCAGACTCTTGAACATAAGTTTTGCTTTATATATTCAAATGAATATATACAACAAAATACCAGCTGGAAGTTGAGAACAGTGAGATTGGCACAACATTTAGAAATTCTGCTTATTTTTTTTTTTATTTTTTTTTTAAATTTTTTTTTTGTGATGGTCCAGAACTTGGATATTTGTAATGCACAATGGTGTTGAATGAAAGTTAAAGGATTGTAATACTTGATTTACTGCAACTGATGATTATTGATGCATAAAGTTCTATTCTAATCTGAGTTTCCTGCAAACATTTATCTCACAGTTCCTGTGAGTAAGAGAATAGTAATGTTTTGAGCTGCTAATATTTGAATGACTTAAGAAAATAATCCTCAAAAAACGAAATCATATCTCACTCACTATGCGAAATACAATCTTCCATAAAACCATTCAGTATACGAATGCAAATCCTGTGACGCATACAGAAGTGAGAATGTAAAGAGGGAAACTCAGCAAAGTCGAATACTCAAGTATCTTCGTTTTCGTTGCAGATGAAATTGTTGTAGGGATGTCTGATAAGCTTGGTCGAGAAGGTGAATCAAATGCTGGTTCTTCAGTTGATGAACTGCCACTTGATTCTTGATCTGAGCCAATCAGTGGGGGTGGTGGGGGGCTATCAACACCTGCCAAATCAGCGTCCGTCAGAAATTCATTATTTTTTTTGGCATCTCCTACATCAAGATCTGCTACAACTTTTCTAATTCAAGGGTATAATAATGAAATATATTCTAACAATGGTGAGGTGTGTTGAGTTGACTGAACATGTTTATAGTAAGGATTCGCACTTTTCAATAAACGTAAAGTCGGAAAATCAAATAGAGAAAAACGAAAGAATATCGAAAGAATAAAAAAAAGGGCTAGATCCTAACTAAAAGGATTACCTGGTACACTTCTCAGAGGAGGCAAGACAGCTGAGTCTGATGTAAAAAAATAGTAAAAACGAACGTAAGTCCCAAAAGATAAGAATGTAAGTCCATCGAATGCATGTTCAATTCATATTCTCTTCAATTACGATTAGAACGATCGTGAAATAGTTGCTGTAACTCTAGAAATAACAAATTCATAACTATTTGATTATCTACTGAACAAGTAATTGCTGGAATGTAATACCTATTTAAACTAAGATAATACCTATTTAAACTTACCTCGAAAATTCAGTTTTAGCTATAAAAAAAAATTCTCATAGCGTTCGATTTATTGAAATATGTTAATCAAAATTTTCGTCCGAACAAAGTAATCACAGACATTAGAAACTGATCAAATACATTTTATCACATTAACTAGAAATGATATCTAAACCAGAAAAGCTCGACATAAGCAACACATTTGATAGCAGGAAACATGATTTTGAACCAAGAAAGTCAAAAATTTCATTTCGTAGAACTGAATAATTGCAAACAGAACTCACGAAGAAAAAACCGAGTCAAACATATTTCCATAATTTAAATGCCTCGGCATTCATGCAATATACAGAGGTCTAAAAATCAAAGCTGAACAGAGTGTTTCGATACTCGATTAACTCGGTATTCATGCAATACACAGAGTTCTAAATCAACGCTGAACAGAGTGCTTCGATACTCGATTCAAAATCAATAGTCAAAAGCTCATTCAACTCAGTTCGATTCAATCGAACACCAACATCACACAACTGCTTTCCCTTAATCAAAATTAACATTAAAAAACTTATTAAATACATTTATCACATGAAATCGAAATGATATCTAAATCATATAATCTCAACATAAGCAACAGCAATTAACTCACAGTAACCATTCTCCCCCAAAATAAAATCACTTCAAAATTGATAGCAGGAAACCTAATTTTGAACCAAAATAGACAATAATTCATTTCGAGGAACTGCACGATTAATTGCAAACAGGAAATCGAATTGAAATATATTTCCAGATTTTAAACGCCTCAGTATTGTGCAAAAATACAGAGTTACAAAAATCAAATCAAGCATGAACAGAGTGCAAAATTACGGAGTTATAAAAATCAAATCAAACCTGAACAGAGTGTTTCCATAGAGAAATTAGCCTCGGAATTTCGATCGTCCAGCGCACAAACGGAGGTGAGAGATAAGATCTTCGTTGAATCGAGCGGAAATCCGAGGATTTTAGGTCGGAGGACGAAGTAGCAGAGGCAGATGGCGGAGCCGTCGCGGAAGGCGGAGGAGACCTGGTCGCAGCACTGCGGCGGAGGGGAATCGGTGCGATTATTGGGGGGGACGGCTACGTAAGGGAGACAGGTCGAGAAGGCGACCAGCTCGTCGGAGCAGGCGATTGAGGGAATCGTGACTGGCGCATCGGCGTCGGAGTCACCGTCGGCGGCGGCGGGGGTGAGGATGAGGCGGTGGAGGAGGAGGAGGAGCAGTAGGAGGAGGTGAATAGCGCGATTCATGGCGGTTACTGACAAATCGTTTCCTTCTGTGCTGTACTGACAATCCGTTAATGGGTACTGAATCAGCGTTGCGTGATAGCGGGAAATATATGAATGAATTATTTTGAAGTTTCCCAAAATGCCCTTCTTTGGTTTCTTATTTACGGGGGTAGACTTGCTGACTGTGTTTCCTCCACTTTTTGTCATTTGAAGGTTTTCTTCTGAACTTTGTATTATAAACTCTTGGGTAAATTACAAAAAACCCCTAAACATAGACCAAATTATGAAGAATACCTCCATATATCCTTAATTACTAAACCCCCCAACGTTCGTTTGCGTCTTACATCGATCGCCTTACGATGTGATTTTCACATAATCCTTTTGAGTCCAGGGAATATTTCCCAAAAAATGTCAAATTATACTCATGCAGACGTGTACTTTCTCTTATGCAGTTATGCTACTTTTTAAAGATATAAAAGTTACTCTCAAATGGGTAATAACAATACAAAAAAGTTGTAAATGACTCATTATAAGAATAATAAAAATTCCGTTTAAAGGCCCCATAGGGTAATTTTTATCTCTCAAAAGTAGCATAAATAAATGTCAAGGCAAAGATAGAATCAACATTTCTTGGGGAATATTCCCTTTAATGAAAAATATTTCGTAAAAATCACACCGTGAGGGGGTTGCTGTGTAATATTGGAACAAACTTCGGGGGATTTTTTGTAAGAAAAAAAATATTCGTAAAAAAAGTCAACGCCGGAGCCGGCGGTCAACGGTGGTTGGTCGGCCGGAAAAAAATTTCAGGAAAAAATAAAGTTTAAAAAAAAAAAAAAAAAGTCAACGATGGAATCTGGCCGGAAAAAAAAAATTCATAAAAAAAATTATTTTCTGGAAAAAAAAAATATATGGGGGGTTAATGTGATATATTTGCTTAAATCTGGGATCAATGTGTAATATTAAGGAAGTTAGAGCATAATGAATGGAATTGATAAGAATTATATTATTGAGTGTATTTTAGATTAAAGACATGAGGATGAGTTTAATTGAGAGACTATTTTTTCTGTGGACCAATGTGCATTTAAGTCCCATGTGATGAGGTTTTGCACCATTCGTCCAAATATTAAAGGGATGGACTTATTTGTGAAACAGATATAGAGCCTAAATCTAGAATAATAAAGATGCTTTGTTAAAACTTCCTATGGTAATTACGAAAAACCCCTATGATATATTACGAAGAAAACTCCCAATGGTAAACTCTAATTACCAAAAACGGCCTGATTTATTTAGACAATAAAATAGTTTAGTAAAAGAAATAAAAAAAAAGAAAAAATAATTCGATTGATATCCTTGTTGTATTAGGAAACGTATTTCGTGTGTGTATATATATATATATATATAAGAAATAGAATACACCTAATAAAAAAAAAAAAAAAAAAAGAAGATAGCCATGGGTGGTGTGGGGAAGAAAATTAGGTATAGAAAGAAAAAGCAATCTTTGAATTTTGAATTTTGCAAACAAACTAGAATTTTGCAGGAGATTGAACTCTAAACATAGCCAAGCCAAGCCAAGCCAAGCCAAGCCAAGCCTAGCCAAGCCTAGCAAAGAAGAATATATGTTTATTTTGCTGTTATTTTATAATAAATTATTAGCTAGCTTAATTGTCTTGTTTATTTCTAATAATAAATTATTGCTGTTCTGAATAAGAGATTTTTGTGCTAGTATCATCACTAATGTCAATTAATCTCACTTTACACTATATATATGGGTGGTTCTAGGGTTTGGGCCATATGATATTATCACACACATGTAGTCGAGAGACCCGAATTCGACGAGGCTAAACAGGGATATCTTAACGGGTCTTAATACCGAAATCGCCCGGATATACATGGGTTTTTTTAACCATTCGAGATTACACAGGGTGTTATGTGCAATTAGCTCGAAATAATAATGTTGGATCAAGTGAAAAATAAAATGATTAGTCCCCACCTTTGCACCGAAGGGGGACACCTGGCACGTTGCAAGCACGTGGCAGAGAAAGGGCGAGGGTTCGATTAACGGGAATTTGGAACGGAATGCTGCCTATGGCAATTAGGCACACGCAGTCCTTACCGTTGATCATTAGCGACTTTAGCGAATTGCAGCAAAATGCGGTGGGGCCCACCCCGTTGGAGCTGTTATTCGTTACGAAATTCAAGCACGGCGCGAATGCCATTATCATTGCTGGCGTGCACGAGGTTGTGATCTGGCCCCACACGGGGGCGAATAGGATAGTTGCAGAGATTATTGATAGAGCTAAGATCAAGAACTTGAATGCCCTTTTTTGAGATATATATTTAATTTTTATTTTATTTTTTCTTCTTTCTTGGATTGGGTTTTGAGGATTTTGATGATGTTGTAAGAGAATTGAGACTGGTGGGGTTTTATTTATACAAGAAAAAAAGTGGGGTTTGTGGCTTAACTACTTTTAACTAATTTTTGAAATTTGATTAGGAGAGTGGGATGAAGAAAAGATAATGAAACAAAGCATCATGGTACCGAGAATACAAGGACCATCAACAAATCATCAAACAGTAGAGTTGGAAGAAACGCATACTCCTCGTGGAACTACTAGACGTGGAGAAATTATCGAAGAAGAAGAAGAAAAATCATCACCAGAGTCACCACCACTAAGAACAAGATCACTCGAGGAAATCTACGAGTCATGTAACTTTGCAACTATGGAGCCAAGGAGCTTTGAAGAAGCATCAAAACAAGAAGTTTGGGTAAAAGCTATGGAAGAAGAGATAAGGATGATCGAGAAGAACAAGACATGGGAGATGGTAGATCGACCTTCTAACAAAGATATCATTGGAGTTAAGTGGGTCTACAAAACAAAACTCAATCCGGATGGATCGATTCAGAAGCACAAAGCGAGACTTGTCGCCAAAGGATACTCACAATTACCAAGTATCGACTACACTGAAACATTTGCTCCCGTTGCACGCTTAGACACAATAAGAGCACTTATTGCACTAGCTGCACAAAAGAAATGGAGAATCTATCAACTGGACGTCAAGTCAGCATTTTCTCATCGGCTATCTTGAAGAGGAAATCTATGTGGAACAACCACAAGGATTCGTGGAGAAAGGAAAAGAAGACAAAATTTTAATTCTCAAGAAATCATTATACGGCTTAAAGCAAGCCCCACGAGCTTGGTACAGTTGGATCGATACTTATTTCACGAGTCGAGGATTTAGGATTAGTCAAAGTGAGCCTACTCTCTACATCAAGACACATGGTACGACCGATACACTCATTGTCTATTTATACGTAGATGATCTTATATATACGGGAAACAATGAGAGTATGGTTAAAGAATTCAAGGAAGATATGATGAAGACATTTGAGATGAGTGATCTCGGATCACTTCATTATTTTCTCGGCATCGAGATAACCCAAAAAGAAAAAGGTGTTTTCATCGCTCACAGAAAGTACATCGAGAGTTTACTAAAGAAGTTCATAATGCACGATTGCAATCCAGTTGCTACACCTGTAGTAACTAATGAAAAACTAAGAAATGAAGATGGATCACCAAAGGCGGACGATTCACTCTACATGAGTATAATGGGAAGCCTGCTATACCTAACAACTACAAGACCAGACATTATGTACGCCACAATTTTACTATCCAGATTCATGCAAAGTCCGAGTCAAGTACATTATGGAGCAACAAAGAGGATCCTTAGATACTTGCAAGGAACGAAGGACTATGGAATTTGGTAGAAGCCCGTAACATGCTCGGGTTTAATAGGCTACACCGATAGTGACTGGACCGGATCATTGGATGACATGAAGAGTACCTCAGGTTACACACTCTCTCTTGGTTCCGGAGTATTCTCATAGGCATCAAAGAAACAAGAAAGTGTGGCGCAATCATCAGCAGAAGCAGAGTATATGGCAGCTGCAACAACTGCAAGCCAAGCTATATGGTTACGACGAATATTAGCAGATATGGGCGAGGAACAAACTAAGCCGACGACAATCTATTGCGATAACAAGTCTGCAATAGCAATGGCGAAGAATCCGGTTCAACACAGCCGAACTAAGCAAATAGCGATCAAATACCATTTCTTGAGAGAAGCAAAAGCAAACAAAAAAATTCAAGTGAACTACTGCCCGACAGAAAAACAACATGCAGATATTTTCACGAAGGCCCTTCCGCGTCCGAAGTTTAAAGAACTGCGTACGATGCTCGGTATTTCCAAAATGAGCATTAATGAGGAGTGTTGAAATTAATGCTCAATTTTGGAATAATTAAAAAATGTTAGTCTTGTAAAATAGTATCTACAATAATCTATAGAACTCAAGCTAGCTGGATACTTCTAGAATATTCAAGAAAATGCTAGGATTGTAAAGAGAATTCTAGAGAAGGACTACTCTAGAATTCATCCATGAATTCTCTAGATTCATCCATGAAGCCTATAAATAGGCTATGAGGCATTGTAAACAAGCATCAACTCAAATAAAAAACTAATAAAACCTTCTCCTTCAACTAAGTTCTATTGTCCCTTCTCTCCAAATAAATCAAACTATCTCCAAATTACTATCCACCACCTCTCACAAACTAACAGCGTTTTTCCCCTAATCATTTATAACCCTGCAATACCGAGTGACCACGTATCACATTTCGGCCCCATTTTCGAATATTTTAAATCAAGAACCTCGGGGGCTAAAAATATTGCTCGCCCAGGTTTACTCTGCCTTCCATTACGTATTTTGGAAAGCCGATACCCGATAGCTTCACGTGGCCGTCGGAGGAGATCAATATGTTTCCGCATTTTAAATTGCCGTGGAAGAGAGACATACTGTGAAGCAACACGAGAGCATGCAACACATTCTTGAGCAGGAACCCGACGTAATCTTCGGGTAATCCTCTCTTGAAGCCCCAACTCATCAAAGACTTCACGGAACCGCCGTCCACGTACGGCATGACCATGGCTAATTCGTCACCAAAACGGAGAAAATCTCGAGGAATTACGAAGGAATCTGTATCACTCACCGCAGATTTGAGTTTCTGTACGATAGTGTTGGCTTCTTGTAAATCGAAACCCTCGTTCAAAAATTTGACAACGGCGGTCTGTGTAACAGAATCTTCTGATATTCGCGGCTTTGTTCCGCCGATGGGATAAAGTAGCTGGGGGTTGATTTCGATCCCTTCCATTCCAAGATTTTGAATTTCTTCGGTATTTAGGGTTATTGGTTGAGAATTTAGGAATTTCAGGGAATCAAGGGAATTTTGCGTCGGAAAGATGACATATGAATCAAGCTGATAATATGTACGGTCAAATAAAAAAAGGGCTGCCCTTATATAATTTTCTGGGGTAAATTAGAACTGAACCACCCTATTTAAATTGCGAAAAAATCACTTATGTTTGTATAATTATAATTAACCCCTCAACTATGAATCTTTTTATACGTTTATATTTGCAGTGTCAAATTTAGTGAATTCTTATAGATTATGTAGAATATTCTTCAGTTTGTACTCGTCCCCATTCGAGCTCTATATTTTGAAACAAAATGATTATAAGATGTGTCTTTTGGCTTTTAAGTATTAGATTGTGGTACACCTGAAAATATATTTTTGCACAAAACGAGTACAAATTAGAGAACATTTCATGGAATCTAGAAGATTATGTTGAATTTTGACACTGTAAGGTTGGACGTATAAAAATATTCATAATTGAGGGAGTGATTGTAATTACTAAAACAAGAGGATTTTTTCGTAATTTAACCTTACCTCGTGGTGTTGCCGTACCTTTGTTTTTTTTATAAACTTTGTATTATAAACTCTTTAAGCTATGCAAGTGCTATTTACCCAATGAAGGGTAAAAATCAATGCCTCTCAATTATCTCAACAAATCATTTTTCTAATAAAAAAAATACAAAAAAGAAAAAGAAAAGCATACACACACAATCACAAATAATATCAATAGCCCTTGACGAAGAGGATGAATCCCAAAACTGCCACAAGAGATGGCAAAACATTAATATGCGATGGATGCGCCGCCGCCGAAGTCAAAATAGGCCGAAATCCCGGCGGTGTCAGAGTCGGTATGATGTCACTTTCCGGTGGCGAAAACCGTGGATCAACTGGTGCTGCAAAATTTTACAACACTTGTCACTAATTTTTTTCTTCTATATAGTTAATAAATAAATAAATATACTTCCAATGTTTAAATAAATATACATTAAAGTTTAGTAGTACCTTTATTACTAGGAGGAGACATACTTGAGCCACCCTCACCTGGATTCTGTGTATCTGTCAATTATTAAAAATAAAAAAAAAAAAAATAAAAAGTAAAAAGAATATTAAATAATCTCCATTTTATCTTGATCAATTGATTGGGCAAATACTTCGCGATTAATTAAATAATAATGATTTTATTTGGTGTTTGGTTAGTCCAGCAACTTTTTCCGACCTATCAATCCAAACGAGGCCTTAAAAAAACAAGACCATTAAAAAAAATAAAAAAATAAAAAACTCGAAAAGTCCTTACCTTTGCACTCAATCGGCACGCCCGAGGTCTTACAAGCACGTGGAAGAGACATTGCTAGGGTTTGGTTTAGAGGGACTTGAAAAGCCACCCCTCCCGTGATCATAAGGCACAAGCAATCTTGACCGTTGCTCATGAGACTTCTAAGCGAATTGCAACAATCAACGGACGGTGTTGATGTGTTTGATCCGCTCGCAAGAAAGCTAATGCAAGGGGTGAAGTTACGGACCATTGCACCGGTGCATGTAGTGCTCGATTGGCCGTTAATAACCGGCATAGCTATTACGAGTACTAGTGCCATAGCGAAACTTCGAAAACATGTGGATTTTTCCATTAGTGTGTTTTGTTTGTATATTGTTTATAAGATATTCTTTTTATTATTTGGTTTAATTTGTGAGAACAAATATAAGGGGATTTATAGAAGATAAGTATATTGGTGTGAAGTGGTTTTTTTGAGGCTCAACTACCTTAACTAACTTTTTTTTTTAAAATGGTGTAATAGTTTTTTTTAGGTGATCTTTCTAGTTATGATCTTATCTAATTAAATACCACAATATCTTCTAGAACATGAAATAATTTGTTGTATGGAATTTTTTGATTCAGAAGAATCGGTTAGAAATGATCGTCATTATTAGTTTATTTCAGTAACTATTCTTTTTTATATCTATTTATTCATTTTCTTGATTCGCAAACTAGCTTAAAATGGGTAAATATTAGAATTCGAGTTAACGACTTAACGAGCCTTCGTCCGACAGATACAATGTGATCATAGCAGAACCATTCTAGAAAGAAAAAAAAACGTCTTGAATCTGCGTTCTTGATTCTATTAAATCAAGGTTACTCTGTATTACATTTTATCACTGTTTTTTTGTTTTTTAATTTAGTTTACCGGTTTAGTTGTTACATAAGATGACGACTAAAATTTACGGGCTGCGTTTATCTGCATCATATTCAAGGATAACGATACTGAATATCAAGTCATCTCTCTAGCTTATAGCATTTTGCCGTGTGCTCTCGATAAATAGGCCAAATCGTTTGCGAATAAAAAATTAAACCCTGTCCCGGAAACACTTTGTTTTAAAAGTTTGAGAATCTTAAATTTGTGAAGCCATTTCTTCTTTTTTTTTTGTTAATTTATTAATTTGGAAGAATTTTTATGACAAACAAAATAATAATAATAAATAAATAAACAATCTCATGTATCACTTCACCAAAATATAAGTATTACATATGCCAAAGAAAAGGCGAAACAATAGCATCTCGTCTCGCAAATCCGAATCACTCAAACAATAAATATGAAAAAGAAAAAAAAAATCGAAAAAGAATATTTGCCTAATACAATAAGAAACATTGAAAATCGCGTATCGGATCGACTAATAGTAGTAGTTCAAAGCAATAGCTCCAAGCACAGCCATTAGATGCAGAGGCGAAACGCTGTACGGAATCTGGGCCGTTGATGGCGTCACTCCAGCCCTACCCGTATTGCTCGTTGGAGCTTCGTTTGTAGCGGTTGGAGCTTCATCGGCTTTTGGGGATAGTGATTCCGGTGGAGCTAGCTCTGCCGGGAAAAAAACAATTAGTGTAACCGATCAAAGTTGAATAAATATCTTGCATTTAAAGAAAATTAATTGGCTCGAACAAGATTCATGTTCGACTCGATTAAAACTCGATTTGACCGATAGTCAACCAAGTTTTCAAATACATTTTCTAAAATCTCGATAAAAATTCAAACGAGCTCGAACAATCATGCATTCGGCTCCACTCGATTTAATGTACCTTGAACACTGGGAGAAGGAGATGCATTAGGAGAAACTGATGGTCCATTTGCCACAGGCCCTGTAAATCATAAAATTAAAATAATTAAATAAATAAATAAGGTAAATTACAAAGACTCCCTGAACTTTGCGTGAATTACAAAAAACCCCACATTTACATAATTACCCAAAATCACTCTTACTAACTGTTGATTGATTTTTTTAACAACGAACGTGTATAGCCTATTATACCCTTCAGTTAAATATGTATAGGCGCGGATTTTTTGTAATTCACCCAAAGTTTAGGGGCTTTTTTGTAAATAAATTGGCAAGAAAATAAAGTACCTGGAGCTGGAACTGGAGAAGCAGCAGCTGCAAATGCATAAAAAGATTATTTAATATACCAAAAAAAAAATTAATAATAATAATTCAAAAGTTGCAATGAAATAATAATGTTGGATCAAGTGAAAAATAAAATGATTAGTCCCACCTTGGCATTGAAGGGGGACACCTGGCACGTTGCAGGCACGTGGGAGAGAGAGGGCGAGGGTTCGATTAACGGGAATTTGGAACGGTACGCTGCCTGTGGCGATTAGGCACACGCAGTCCTTACCGTTGATCATTAGTGACTTTAGCGAATTGCAGCAAACTGCGGTGGGGCCCGCCCCGTTGGAGCTGCTATTCGTTACGAAATTCATGCACGGCGCGAATGCCGTTATCATTGTCGGCGTGCACGGGGTTGTGATCTGGCCCCACACGGGGGCGAGTAGGGTAGTTGTAGAGATGATTGATAGAGCTAAGATCAAGAAATTGAATGCCATTTTTTGAGATATATATTTATCTTTTTATTTTTTTGTTCTTTTTTGATTGGGTTTTGAGGAATTTGATGATGTTGCAAGAGAATTGAGATTGGAGGGGGTTTTATTTTATAGAAGAAAAAGGTGGGACAAAAGTGGGGTTTGTGGCTTAACTACTTTTAACTAATTTTTGAAATTTAACCAAGTAGATGCATGCTGCAAGTGCCACGTGTCACCTTGATTGAATGAACGGTTGTGATGATTGTAGGAGAAAATTGTAGCATTGATCCGGTTATACGGCTTTTGAGATCCTACACCGGGTGAAATACACCGGGTAGATCTTTACCATTAATATACACACAAACACACACACACCCACATTGGTGTGTGTAGATCAACGGTGAAAAATCACCCGGTGTAACCTTCACCGGGTGTAGGATAGATAAAACCCGGTTATACACTCAAACACCTTAATGGGAGTTCTGTTGGAAGTAATTTAGCCTATAAGAACTACTAATAAATTTTAATCTGCTTATGTGATGTGGTCAAAGCCCTAACAAGGTCCAAATCGAAGGATTTAAGTTGACTCGTGAGTCCAAATCGAAAGGTTTAAACTAACTCGATATTATTAACTAAATGTTCAAACAGACTCAAGACCACTACTCTGATCCACCAACAATAAACGACAATTAGACTTACGGGTCGAGCCCATGATCTATCAAAATTCTCTATATATCGACTCTAAATATACATTATTCTCTCATTTATTCTTTATTTTTTTCAATTTTTTTTTATTTAATTAACTAAATTTTCATCGGTTTTAGCATTTACAATGTAATACTTGATAAATTTTGACACCTATAGTTGCTAATCATCAGATTTCTTTGTCTTAAACATAAATTGCTATAAAGTATGATATGAAAGTCAAACTATGTAACTAGTGTTAGGTAATCAGCCAAATTGTTTCTAGTCTGAATTTCTATAATATTGCAAAAATACTTTGGTTAATCAATAATCTGTATACAACTCATTTGTTGTATTAACATATGGCCAATTTGGCTAAGTAAATTGCGGCTTCTTACCTCATAACACCTTTTCTAGTTTACCAAATACTAATTTCTTGTAATTCTTTTTTTTTTTTTAAATAGAATAATCAATCATCAATTAAATAAATAAAAAAACTTATAGCATGTACTATGTAGTAGTAGTATAAAATCACTCCCTTGTGGTGATCTCAATAACACCAAATTAACACATTTTCTTCCAAAACAAAGAATAGAATCAAAAATTAAAATTTAATATCCAAATTCGAAATGGCGCCAAAAGGGATCGAAGTTGGGGTATTGATCATTTTCACGGTGGCTCTTCTTTCGGCTCGAGCCACGGCTCAGTCGGGGTGCACGAGCGTGCTCATAAGCATGGCTTCGTGCCTCAACTACGTCTCGGGTAGTGCCGCCTCACCATCCCCTTCGTGTTGCTCGGCTCTCGATAATGTGGTCAAGACTCAACCGCGGTGCCTTTGTGCCATAGTCAATGGCGGCGGGGGTGGCTCGGTGGGAGTCAACATCAACCAGACACTCGCGCTTGGGTTGCCTAGCGCGTGTAAGGTGGAGACTCCACCGATTAGCCGGTGCGATGGTAAGTTTTCAACAATTACAATATAAATTATTGCATTTTTCTTTTGTCCTAGTTGCGAGTACTAAATTTTTTTTATTCGTCGCAAATTGGATTTTTTTTCTCTTTTTGTGGACATAACATAATTCAATCTTTTCTTTGCTAATGTTTATTATATGTTCCACATTTTACACGCATCTACATATATGTAAGTATATGATTATTAGAAAATTTATGATAAAATAATATCTAGTGTAGCATCTGCAAGACCGAATACCAAATACGGTCGATTTTTTGGGTCACAAAACATGGTTTATCACTTTATTGCATTTAACAACCTTATATATACTCTAATTGTTAAAAACTCCCTGTATTATAAATATTAACAAAATTTCCCCTACAATGCAATGTTTTTAGCAAACTACACCTAAAAACTCGCATTTAGGGGGTCGTGTGCTAAACCAAACGTTATAGCAAGAGAGTTTCTTAACAATTCAATATAACACAAGGTACTAAATGCGATAAATAAACAAAACATGGATATTTGAATTCTTGAGATATTAACGTTTCGTTTTTTAACGTAAATGTGAAATTGATGTAAACTTGTTTAGCTGTTAACGGGCCTACAATCTCTCCTATGGGTTCTCCAGAAAGTTCTCCTCCGGAATCTGAAAATGGAAGTCCCGATTCTCCGATTAGCCCATCACTCACAGGTACATTAAAATCATAATTTATTCCAATAATTAAAAATAATATTTACTCGACTCGTTTCGTTTTACGCGGCCCAATTGAACAGGATCGAAGACAGTTCCGTCGAATGGCGCGACATCAAACGGAAGCACAAGCAATATAAATCTTCTTCAACTTGCGACCAATTTCATCGTCTTCGTTACAGCTTCGTATGCTTCTTCTGCATTCAACAATATCTTTTGAAGCGAATGTTCATTATTTGTGTGTGGGGGTGTGTTTTTTAAGAATATTTAATCAAGAAAAGAAGAGAGCATAATTTATATAGTTAATTAATACTTTGTGACTATTATTGTAAGAAGTCAGTTTGATTTATGTATTACTGTTTGTGTTTGTTTGTCTGCAAGATTTGGTTCAATTCAACGAGTTTGTTGTGCTATACATGTTTTTAAAATTGACAAGTGTTTGTATTGAAATAAATGGTCTCTCTATCGATTTTCAATTTATAGTTGTTAGAGCAACTCCAATGCTAAACATCAAAATTGGATTATCAAATACTCATTTGATAATTAAGATAATATTTTAATATCTATTTACAATTTATTTACTCCAACCATGGTTATCTAAATCAATAATCAATTGGAAGTTTTTTAGTGGTTTTATTTGAAATTGCCACGTGTCATTTTTTGATTGGATGTTTAGATAGTTATTTTTTTGATAACTCAATTTCCGGGATGTATTTTTACATTCAAAGAGGTAGAATATCAAAATACTTACCCATTTTGATACTCCCATTGGAGTGAAAAATTTTGATTTTGGAATATCAAAAAGGTGGTTTATGTATTTGATAATCCATTTGATACTCCCATTGGAGTTGCTCTTATATTGATATTTATAACAAGGAAAGCTCGTGAATATAAGTATTATATTTAGGGTTAATTACAACCACCCGTCAGGTATGGTCAAATTACGAAATTCCCCTCATGTTTCGGTAATTACAACCACTCCTCAACTATAAATATTTTTACACGTTCACCCTTGCAGTTTCAAATTTAGTGGATTCTTTGAGATTATATGAATTATTTTCACTTTTGTACATGTCTTATCACATTCGAACTCCACATTTTGAAGCAAGATGATCATAATATGTGTTTTTTGGCTTGTATATATTAGATTGTGGTGGATCAGAAACTGTATTTTTACACAAAACGAGTACAAAGTAGAACACATTCTACGAAATCTCGATTATTATGTTGAATTTGACATCATAAGAATATAGATGCAAGAAAGAAAAAAAATCATAACTAAGGGATAGATATAATTATCCAAACAAAAAAAGTTTTTACATAAATTGACCGTACTTCAGGGATGGTTGCAATTTACCCTTATTTATATTGATATATTGATATACGTATGTATTAATAATATAGAGAAAAGTAAAAGGCTAAAGCATAGTAGCACTTACTCAAAATATGCTTTAGAGATAGAAATGTTAAATGTCATTTGCATTTTAATAAACAATTTTAATTTAGAATAGGATTTTGACTTTTTCTGGTCTGACAAAAAAGTACATCAATTCCACCTTAAAAAGTATAACCAAATCTTGAATTTTCTTCTAACATCTTTTATTATTTAGACAAAACAATAGGTACATCAATTCAACCTTCAAATCATTAGTCAAGAACAAGGTTGCTCACCCACATAACTAACCATCTCCATCTCTCCTCAATCAAATTTTCTTTTTAATTAATTAATTAATTAAGAACCTTTAAACATATCTATACAAAATACCAAAAGACTTTTTACAATAGTAGAAAATAAGTTGGTTAACCACCCCC